TGTTTTGGTTCGGGAGGTCTGCTCACAGTGTCCAAATATACGGAACTGCAAGCAGACCTCCACGGGCTGATGATGCAAAGGTAGCCTGGGAGGAGGTCACCACAATTGTAAATCAATGTTGCGTTTCTCTCGTGCCCGCGTTTTCTCTTTCTCTCTCGCAGTCTCACTCTCTTTCTTTTCTTTTGACTTTTCTAAGATGACAGATGCTGAATATATACTCCCTATCTGATGCTGTGGCTGTTTCTGGTTGGCTGAGAGGGATGTGAACTCAGGTTGGGTTTCCATTACCCATGCCAAACGTGCCAATCCCCTTTGATCTGACATCAGATGTGACGGGACAGTCGATATAGAGATACATTTATGTGCTGATTGCAGATAGTTGCATTGAATAGTGGTTTTTTTTGGTATTTATTGCATTATTAATGTGCCTGACATTCTGGAAACCTGCCTGTGAGGTTTTGGTGACGTGTGCGCACTGTCCGCCAGTCAGCCAAACTTCCACTTACATCGGCTGCGCTCCGCCTGCGCTGACAGTAGACCTGGTTTCAGCTGGCGAGCTTTTAGCGCACCTTCGACGAAGCCTTTTGGCACGAAACTGTCACTGCGCCAAGCTGGATCTGTCGACACCTCCCCCTGCTGCGCCGCCCCACTCATCTCAGCACACCTCGGTCTGCCAAACTACCAAACTGAGCGCGCCTCGGGTTGCGCTGCTTGAAACTAGCTCTGTGCGGGGTTCGCCACCCTGCGCTACCCTGTGCTGCGCCGGAAAACTAGAGCCCTATGTGTCTATGAAGATTCTCAGTCATCCAGGTCATGGTGATCATAAGCGCTGTGTCGTAGGCAACTGGACTTGCTTGTGTTTCTTAAAATGACTGGTACAAAGTTGTAGGCTTTAAACCACGAGTGGGTGTAAAGGGGTCACAGGTGAGCTCTTAGACCCCAGACACCCAGACATAAGCAGAGTAATGTAGTGTATGCAGTTCAGTGCAGCCAAGAATGCATAGATTTATACATTGGGAAAACTAAACAACCACTCCACAGCACAGGAGAGCCAGCTCCTCAGGTCAAAACTCAGCTGTCCACCTACATCTACAGCAGAAGGGACACTCCTTTGAGGACAGCAATGTGCACATCTTGACCCAGGAAGAAAAATGGTTTGAAAGAGGAGTAAAAGAAGCCTTTTTTTTAAATATTTTTTTGGCTTTTGCCTTTAATTGACAGGAGAGAGTGAAATGGGGGAGTGAGAGAGAGTGGGGGGATGACATGCAGCAAATGGTCGCGAGCCGGAGTCGACACCCCAAAAGAAGCTATCTGTGTTAAACTGGAATGACCATTGTTAAACAGCGGGGGTGGCCACCGTCACGACTTATCACCCACCTACAATGCAGTCTTGGGACTGAAACTGAGAGCCCACATGTAACCCCTATGACTCTGCAAGGGTTCACTCCCACACAGGGTTTAAAGCCTGCAACTCCGTACCAGTCATTTAGAACCGAAGAAGCCTCTTGGATGAGAGGCGAAACGTCTTCAAGAAACGCAAGCAAGTCCAGTTGCCTACGATATAGCACTTCAAGGCTGTAGTTACAATAGTCCTTAATATTTTTAAAAAAGAAAAACACCTGTAGAAGTAACATAGAACAAATGCACTAATGCAAATATAGGGAAGAGCCCACCCAAACAAAACCTGGTATTACAACCTGTTCATGATGCACACTTGCAAACCAATTGTGTATTATATATGAGGCTGTATATACACTCTGTCTGGGCTATAATTATCTATGCACAAACATCTCTATAATATTTAATGATAATATTTGTACATACACTACTCTTATTGTTGCAACAAAAGTCATGACCAGGACCTAAAGATACTGAGGCACAGCCGTGAAGTGGGTCTGGGGGAAGTTTGAGTCGAGGTGTGCTCTTCTTTTCTGGTGTAATTTAGTATTTTATTGAAAATAAATCTAATTTAATGAAACATTCTATACACGTACATACACCCTAGGCCTATTGGTCTCTGAATTGAATTTGTCTTTGTGTGGAAAAAAAAGGAAATACATATGAAAAAAAAAACTAGATGTGACTTTGCGTTCCTCAAACTGGCTTTGAGTTTAGCAAGACACCACATAACTAAAATGACGCAGCTGTTGAGGTCCCACTCAGGTCAAATGTAAATACATTTAATAAAATAAATATATGCATTGACTTCGGTTTATTTAGTGGCATTGAAAGGCCTAACTTTTTCTTAATGCTTTGGTAAACTTGTCAGATGTCGTGCAGGATGATAAACCTGTTTAACAGTTATGAGAGTTGCCTATTGTATAAACGAGTATTTGTTCTTGTTGTGGAAACGAAAGCACTCCCTGGCTTTTCGTGCAAGCCGATGCTCACATTTACTAACCTCAGTAATTTTGTCTGTCTCGGTGGTGAGACAAGATGTCGATCATTTTTGCCTGCCTCTTATTGTCAAGTGTGTCTTGTTCATGGATGTTTGGCTGCAGGACTGATGTTGTTTAGTACCATTTCATATTGTGTGTTCATAAGGCGCTTTGTTTTGTACATGCTGGACACAGAAGCTCCTGCTTGGGGGGCTTAAAATATGATTTCGGTCTAATCAGTAATAGGGTAAGATTTACTGCATGCTGGAAACTCCTTGTAGCGTAATCAGTCTGCGATAAGGCGCCTTGAATTTATTGTCTCCATTATCCAGTGCTCTGCTTCCTTATCATTTTCATAGTAAAGGTGAGGTCAGTATGAACAACTTTGTATACTAAGATATTGTTACTGTAAAGGGCATAAATGACTCATGCACTGTCCAAAACAGCTCTATTTCCTGGACCATGGGGAATTACACTCACCACCAAGTGAACTATGAGGCATTGTTGAAGCTCCCTCTCACTAAATGGTCATTTACAAAGTGATTTTTTAATTTGCATCTATTAGTAGTTATGAAAGTCTTGCTCCTCTGATGGTGCAGAATAGCTGCTTGATATTTAAAGCAGAATTTCTCAACAGCGGCCTTCCATCGAAAACACAAAAAACGGCCCACTAACCAACTCACTGGAGAAATATGATTTGTTGCAAAACCCTGAGGTTGACTAACAATGTTTCAGCCATCACTGTTAATTTCTGCTTTTTCGACTTCCTTCAAAGAAGGAACCTCGCGTGATTAGTGCAACTCTACTGTGGGTGTTGCAAACACAGTGAAGTGCTGACAGAAATGTGACCCTGCACTTTGTTAACGAGCAGATGAACTGAACTCTCATTGACATGAAAAAGGTGATTTAAAATATTCTTTGTCCTGCATCATGTCAGTTCATTTCACATATTCTCCTTCATGTGTTAAAGTAATAAAGAAAGCCACAAACTCTCAATCACCTGTACTCACTGATGCTCGCTCACGATGGGAAAGAACATTTTTTGTAGATCTGAAGTATGATGTGCAACCTGTTCTTCAACTTTTCAACAATGTTTGCTGCAGCGAATGAAGCCATATGAGTTAAAAATGGTCTTTAGATAATTTTTATGCAAAGAAGGGGGGTAGTGTGCACATCCTGCCCCGTAGTTGGACACAGGTACAGGACAAAAAAAGAGAGGTTGTCCACATTTAAATTTGCAGTCTTTGCTTGGTGAAGACCTTGTAGGCTAAAGCGTTGCATTAATACATTTTTTTGGTGTTCAAATGTATGTTTTTTCTTTTGAGGAAATTATTTTCTCACCTGTCTTGGCTGAAACAAAGGCCAAAGATTCATATCTCTCACCTCCTGATAGAAAACATGAAGTCGCAGGAGGCATTTTTAACGCCAACATCAAAAAAAGGTCCCGTAGCCTGTGCTGTGTGTGTTTGTCCATAGCTGTAATCTGTCGTTAAATATGTGATGCTATTTTCCTCATAGACATTTACCATTTTAAGGTCTTTTAGACTGTCTTGGAGTCAAATAGTACATTATATAATGCTCTGGAAAACATGTCATTCATTATATCAGTGACATGTGAGGCTTTTCACAGCCGATGTACTTTCCTTAAACGCCTGTCCTTTGTTCTGTTGTCAGTGACAGTTTTGCAAGACAACTAGGAAAAAGCCTTTGTATTAACAGCAGCCTCAGGGCTCCCCACCCAAACACAGTTTCAAGGTAAACTTATGTTGACCGTATATCTGTCTTTCTTTTTCCTCATTGCACAAGCATGTTACTTATTTACCCGGGATGCCCCGTGGTTAACACGTTCCACACCTTGACCTGCCAAAAAAAAGGAGGATGTGATAAGTGATGATATATTTCATTCTGAGACTGTTTTATTTTAGTGTGCAGCAGTATTTGATTTTTATTATCAGGAGCGGTGTGAATTCCTTCCTCTTTTAAAAAACTTTCTCAAGTTGATCAGTTTGTGTGTGGCAACACTGTATGGCAATATCAGTAAACAACAGGAGGGAAAAAAAAGAAAGAAAAACACACAAAAAAATCCAAATCCTGTCATCTCTCTGCTAATCTTATAAAAACTGTTGTTAAAAACTATTTCTCCAGTTAGAAAAGTCTCGATCAAGTTATGTCAAATAACATGAAAAAGGAAAGTTTGTACACAAAGGAGAAGAACATCAAAAATAGACAAAAGCATTTCTAAAATTTGCCAGAAATGCTCCTTAAACACATCAATATTATAATAATGAATTAAAAATAATGTATTCAAATCTTTTCATACTATAATACTAAAAAAGAAAATAATAATTTAATAGCACCAGCATAATATGGCTGTTACCATGACAGCCACCATCACAACCACCATTGGTACTTATAGTTTTTCTTATAGTTTACTTATAGTTTTTCAACAACATCAGCCCTATCAGTTGGCCTTCCTGTCAGAAACAATAACTGATAAGAGAAAAGGTTTTCCTTCAGCACAGAGAGAGGGAAGAAGGAAGTGCTCTTTACTGACAGTAGCTTCACCTGTACAACCCCTTGGGCGAGGCCTCAGTGCCTTGCACTCAATATAAAGAAGGCGACAGTACCGCTAACTCCACATTAGCAAGAGATATCTTCAAGTCTGTCTTCAAAGACGCAGGTAAAAAGATTTTGTTTTTTTGGTTTGGATGCTTGGATTGCTGAAGAAATAGTTTTTGTGCATACCTTTTGACAAATGCAAATAATTTAGTTTTTTACTGAGTTTTGTTTGTGTATTTTAGAGATGCTTTTCTCTGTCCTTCTTCTGCTGGGCATCTGCCTGGTTCCTGCTCACTCCAAAGCAACAGGTAGGCTACGTTCTTCACTAACATTGAAGTCATTTTGTCACAACTGATGAACAGCTTGATAGATGTGTTGTCTCTTTGCAGGAGAACATCTCGGCAGTCCTCTCCTTCAACAATGTTTTGAGGAGGCCAAGAAAGTTGTGGATGATGCCTACAAGTACTCCAGAGAAGAGTGAGTTCACCTTACGGAGTTTTTCATCTCACAGAGTGAAATAGTAGATCATCTTTCAAATTAATTCAAATATGAATGTACATATTTCTTTAGCATGCAAGCCATTCGTTACATTAGCTCTGTAGCTCAGTACTTGCAAGAAAAGGTTACCAAAGCTCCAAATAATTTGCACTTAATTATTCGCCTCTGTGACTCTTCTCCTCCAGGAGTCTGAGACGAGTCCGCAGAGAGGTGGTGCGCCCTCATGATGCTCTTCGTCTGTTGAAGCAGCCCCGTGGTGACACACGCTCTGCTGTTAGATCTGCAGACTACATGGCACAAACCCTCAGTCTGTTGCAAGCGAGGGTGCATCACAGGAGCAGACGCTCACTCAATGCAACAGGTCAGACATGCAGCACGCAAACAAAGACAATACAAACGGTGCCTGCATTGTTTTTCTGACAACTTTTCCTGGTCTTGGTTTAGGGTCTGAGGTTTACTGTTTCCAAATGTGGGCATAGTGAACGCACTTCAAAGCTGTAATGAAATACAAGACATATGAAGTTGACATGCACGCATCCATTGTGACATCTGAAATATGTCTCTCACATTTTTCAGATCTGCTGTCTGAAGAGGATCTGCGGAGGCTCGCCAACATAACTGGATGTTCAGCTCGAGTTGCTATTCCATCATGCCGCACCACACCAAACCTCAACAAGTATCGCACAGCCACCAGTGTCTGCAACAACCTGTAAGAGAGACACTCAAGTGCTTTTATAAATTCTTGCTTTTTTAAATGTAAGAAGCAGTTTGTATTTTGACGTCTGTGACATAACATAAAAAAAACAGATGTAATTCATATAATATCAAATCTCAAATTTAAGTCCTTTTCTCAAACAATTTAACCAGGCACATTTCAACATTAGCAAATGTCTTCATTGTCAACTTTGTTTCCTTTTGCTTGTCAGAAAAACAGTTTCCCCACATGCATACTATATTTAGTTAAAAAGCAATTGTAGCATTTCTTTTCAAAAAGCAATCTGTCTTGAATTAATGGAAACATGTCAGGTTAGTGAGATTGAGTGTTGCTTACATTTAGAGGAAATGCTTGTGAAATAAACCTAAACATCTTAGGCCATACACCACAGAAGTTGTGTACACTTCCCTTGGATTTCTCAAGCAGCATTTCTAAACATGAATGTCTTCTGTTTGCTTGTAGAAAAAACCCTCGCCGTGGAGCCTCCAACACCCCCTTCGCCCGCTGGCTACCTGCCGAATATGAAGACGGCATTTCCCTACCGAAAGGGTGGAACAATCGAACAATCAACAACTTCTTCCTGCCACTGGTACGACATCGAAATCCCAGACACTTGTTTTGATTACATAAATGCTGATTTAATATTTAACAATTCTCCTTGGCTCTCAGGTGCGACAGGTTTCAAACAACATCCTAAGCACAACAGATGCAGGCGTGGTCAGCGACAGAGAGTTCAGTCACATGGTGACCTTGTTTGGGCAGTGGAACGACCACGATCTCACCTTCACGCCCTTCTCCCCCAGCATCCGCTCCTTCAGCAATGGGATCAACTGTGATGAGAGCTGTGAGAGAACTGAGCCATGCATCCCCATCGCGGTTGGTGTGACAGCATAAATCCAAACATTGAGATGTTGTTTTCACTAAAAGCTTCTCTCCATAACCTTTGGTCTCTCTTTCCGACAAACAGATTCCCCCCAACGACCCCCGGTTGCCCACTGGCCCAGACAGCTGCATCCCTGCTTTCAGATCTGCCCCTGTTTGCGGAACTGGATTCTCAGCCTACAATTTTGGCGGAGAGCCTGAAAAGAGAGAGCAGATCAATGCCTTGACAGCCTTCCTGGATCTCGGCCAGGTGTATGGTTCTGAGGAGATGCTTGCCCGGGATCTTCGCAACCTCACCAGTGATGACGGCTTGCTGCGTGTGAATACAGAGTTCAGAGACAATGGCCGTGAGCTGCTGCCTTTCAGCCCTCTTCAAGCGAACATGTGTGCCACTCGCAAAAGAGTCACCAACGATACCAACGCCAGAGAGGTGCCCTGTTTCCTTGCAGGTTAGTCATAATGCAAGTTTATTGTAACTACTAGCTTCATCAGTGGTTAATTAAAAAAATTATTAATGCTCTATAGATCAGCAATAAGCCTCAGGAGTAGTAATAGGAAGTTTGGGTTATGAAAAAATCTTGTATATCCTGCTCCAGCTGTCTGTTGAAATGATCTGGTAACACTTACTTTAAATTCCCCTATTAACCATTTACAAAAAATATATAAACACCAGTTCAAACACATTGCCCTTTGCGGACAACAAAAGAAACCCACAAATGTATTTTCTTTGTTAAGATTTTGAAATTATGATAATCATCATAGTATCCTAGTTTAATTTCGTTTCAGTGTATTATGGTCCTTTTCCTGATAACAAGCTTAACAAAAGAAATTGCTAGTAGGCTATGCAGATGTCTCCGTAGCTAAATAGCTAGCTAGCCAACGCTGTACTTTGATTTTCTGATTTGAGCATGACAGCCCCACATTTTGAAATATTCCCATGTTTTCCCTAGATATGTCCAGCTGCGAAGTTGCGGCACTTGTTACTGCTCCTCTAATTTCAGAGCAGACTGACAGGGTAGGAACATGGGTTGCTAGCGTTAGCCTACAGAGCGCTGCTTGTAGCCTGTTAATGAAGCAGTATTCTTTTATATTTGATGACTTGTTTGATTGATTGATAGCGTTAAACTTAAGTTGTAAACACATTGCGAGTGTTCTGGCAACAACGTACACCAGCAGTGTTCTTATATGTATAAAGCATTAAGAAATAATGAAATAATCATTAATAAAGTCATTATTTACAACTTATAAAGTCCTAATAGAAAGAGGTGCCAATCTAAAGAAGAAATGAACACTTCTGATCAACTATTTGTTGTGTACATTTCTGTCTGTAAGGTGATGTCCGTGTGGACGAGAACATTGCTTTGACATCCATTCACACACTGTTTATGCGTGAGCATAACCGCCTGGCTCGTGAACTGAAGAGAATAAACCCACACTGGGACAGTGAGACACTCTACCAAGAGGCCCGCAAGATCATGGGTGCCTACACACAGGTAGGTAAACCTGAGAATCAGTCAGCATTCATGATTGTATATCTCCGTACACTCTTCTGTCTTTTACTCAACATAGATCTCTGTCTCTTGCAGGTGTTTGTGTTCAGGGACTATCTGCCTCACATTGTTGGTGACGTTGAAATGCGAAGGCGGCTTGGCCGTTACCCTGGCTATAATCCCAACGTTGACCCCAGCATCTCCAACGTCTTTGCCACAGCAGCTTACCGCTTTGCCCACTTGGCCATCCAGCCAGTCTTATCCCGTCTAGATGCAAACTACAGGGAGAACAATCGGTTCCCAAGTGTCCCCTTGTTCAAGGCCTTCTTCACCCCCTGGAGGATTGTCTTTGAGGGTGAGTTGTAAAGAGCGAATAGTAGTCACTAAGTCGCTCCGTCTGAAACTGTCGCCCTAACATCTATTTGATCTCTCAAGGTGGCATCGACTCTTTGCTCCGTGGTTTAGTCGGCCGTCCTGCTAAACTGAACACTCAGGATCACATGATGGTGGATGCTCTGAGGGAGAGGTTGTTCCAGTTTGTGATGCATTTGGCCTTGGATCTGGGCTCTCTCAACATGGAGAGGGGACGCGACCACGGCCTGCCTGGTAGATCCCTCACTCTGATTTTCTTTTCTACAGTTTCATCTCTTTTTTAATTGTCCTCATCCGCTCTTTGATACATATACAGATACAGAAAAACTTTATTTATCCCCGAAGGGCAATTCAGTTCCTACAGTCCACCGACAACACATAAAACATTCACACAACATGATTTACAGTAGGTGTCAGAGGGAGCATGACATGAAGGAACCCTAACAACTACTGCTTAAAAAGAAGCGCCTCAATATATTTCATCAATGAATTCCAAGAATCAGAGATAAATAAATACATAAATAAATAAAAATAGAGCCAAATAGGCCTGTTGCACATAGCAGATACTGCAATCACAGTGACCCTGCGTTCAGCAGCTTGACAGCAGAAGGAATGAATGACTTTGAATATCTGTTAGTCTTCCTCGGAGGCTGCAGATAACGTCGTCCTGATGGCATTAGGGTGAATTCTCCACCCAAGACATGATCTTGATTTATTATGTTTTTTGCCTTTTGGAGGACACATTCCTCCCAGAGAGAGTTCAAGTCTGACAATTTTGTGCCAACAATTTTGGAGCAGACTTTTACAATGTTGTTTAGGTTGTTCCTGTCTTTCACTGTCAGACTACTGAACCAACAAATGAAAGAAAAAGTAAGGAGACTCTCAATATAAGACAGATACACAGTATACAGAATAGATTTCGAAACAACGGAAGAGGAGATCCTCTGCAGTAAATGAATCCTCTTATGGGCTCGTTTAACAGTTACGTCTGTGTTTATATCAAACTTAAGTTGCGAGTCAAATACAGTGCTCAAATATTTGCTCACTTGTTGTTTACTCCTCCAGGCTACAATGCCTGGCGCAGGTTCTGCGGCCTGTCTCAGCCCAGGAACCAGGCAGAGCTTGCTCGGGTCCTGAACAACAGCAACCTGGCTCGCAGGCTGCTGCAGCTCTATGGCACACCCGACAACATTGATGTCTGGCTGGGAGGTGTGGCAGAGCCGTTTGTCCAAGGTGGCCGTGTGGGGCCTCTGTTCGCCTGCCTCATTGCACAACAGTTCCAGAAGATCCGCCAGGGTGACAGGTCAGTATGTGTGTGCAGACATACACTGATGCTAACATAGCCACACAAATAAATGCATTCCACAGTCTCTGTTGACAATCATCTCTTGTTTTAAAAATCAGGCTCTGGTACGAGAACCCAGGCGTCTTCACTAGGGCTCAGAGAGCCGCTCTGTCCACCGCCTCCATATCCAGAATCATCTGTGACAACACCGGTGTTACGTCTGTCCCCACTGATGCCTTCGGTGTCATCTCAAACAGGAACCGGCTTGTCCGCTGTGGCAACATCCGCCGTTTGAACCTGTCAGCCTGGAGGGACACACCCTGTTCAGGTGAAACATTACTGGGCCGAACTGCAGGGGAAGACTCTAAGCTCTGAATTCACAATCATTTGTCACCTACTGTATTTTTCATTCTGATTTTAACCTGGTGTGTTTATCTCTTCACTAATCACTTGTGTGAAAATCGGTCTTCACATGTGGTGTTTGATCTTGCAGGGCCGGGTCATAGCTGTAAGGAAGTCAGTGGAGAAGAGGTCGGTTTTAAGTACAGTACTAACAAGTAGTAGTAATATTTTAATGAAGCCAAACCTCCTTAAAAAAGTCCACATTCAGATCATGCAACACCTGTTGTCCCTAACTTTTTATCATCTTGGTGAAGGTGTTCCTCACTCCAAAATAAACCATTCATGGTTTACTGATACTAGCACATTTTGAAAGAATTCCTTAAATTATGAGGGTGAATAAGTTTAACTTCTAGATCTTCTGGATTTACAGACTGTGAACGAACTGGATCCCCAGGACTTCGAGGACCTGCAGGACAACGAGGGCCTCCTGGACAACGAGGGCCTCCTGGACAACGAGGTAATATATTCAGTTATGGTCTGTTCAGCCTTTTGTACATTGTATAGAATTCTCAGTGCCACAGACTCTTCAATCTTCATATTTATCAAGATGAAAACAAAACATACACAGGTTTACCCCAGATATAAAATTAACAAGCCCAAACTCAGTATTCTCGTATCTGGTCAACTTCAATGAAGCACATGAACTATAAATAAACATACGTCATATAGAAATCTTCAAATGCAGTTTATCTTTGTCAAGTACACCCATCTTTTATCTTTTTAGGCAACTTTACATTTTGTCCACTTTATTATAGCATCTCTATGAGGGTGATTTCTTTAACTAAACAATGCATCATGTTTTAGAAAAGTGGTTGTCAAACTATTAAATAACATACTCCCTGCAAAAAAGTGTACATGTGACCAGCACAAAAAAATGTTTTTGTTAGAGAAACACAAAAGTAAAGGTGAACGTGATTGCGTTTGTTGTGGCTGGATAGTTAACAGTCATTAAAATATAAAATTTGGTTTATCGATTTCACATTTACATTTTTGATTTAACTTATTCTAGCATAGTTATTTTAGGCAGCATGCATCACGGATGACTCACATACCCCCCTGCAGTACTCCAGAGTACCCCTAGGGGTACCTGCACCTGTGAGAAACACTGATTTAGAAGATGATTGAATATTTTGTATGGAAAATTGTTTTTAAATTAAATAATAACTATGTAGGGGAGTACAATATGTCATCCAGAATATAGTGGAGTAGAAGTATTAAATATTAGCAAAAGGAAATACTCAAGTACAACCATCTCAAAGGTGTACTCAGGGCCCTGACGCACAAAGCTGACAGTTGGCCATCAGTCAATGTCGGGTCGTCGATGAGCATTTGTCGCCTTTGTGGTGTGTCCCACACAGTTGGCATTAGTCAGCCCTTGTTGGCTTTTCTACGGTCGATTTAGCAGATTGAATTGGCGTCAGAGATGGTGGAGCCTGTCAGTGTGTGAAATCACTGTGACTGACAGTTCAACTCTGCGCACGATAAGACAAATGGAAGCAAGTAAATCAACCAAACAGCTAAAGTTAAGAGGAAGTGACATCAAAGCAAACATGTTATATTAGGTGAAATTATTTTTTTAGCCACTGAGCTTTTAAGCAAAATCAGTTCATTATTGTGTCTGCTATTGTTCACTCGCGTACAGTATCATTTGTCCTTTCAATATCAAGGTGCGTTGTTAATGTGCAAACTGGCTAACTACAGTAGTATCTTGAATCTGTTCTGTCAGTCCTCTAACTTCTCTTTTTTAATGACTAATGACTACCACTGCCTGCTGGTGTGGAGAGTTATTTCCTGTCATGCAGGTGCAGAACATACATGCTGGTTGGCCGTTGGCTGTAGTTTTTGTGGTGTGTATAAGTGCAACGTTTTTGTTGAGACACAAGCAGCTTGAGGCAACGCAGTCGGCTTTGTCGCCACAACTTCTTTGATGACAGTTTGTTGTGTCAATTGAGTAAATGTACAAAGTTACTTTCCACTTGTAGATAATTCATAACATAGCAGCAGATCAGTGTTTTATCAAACCAGATTCAAAGCCTTTTGAAGTAATCTATACCTTTGTTCCTCTGCAGGTCCAGTAGGACCCCCTGGCCCGAGAGGCCCTCCTGGACCACCAGCATATGACATCAATGCTACACAGTCTCAATCTGCCTTCGCCGTCCGCCTGGGCGAGTACAAGCCATCCTCAGAGAAAATAATTCATTTCCATCAGGTCATCTACAACAAACAAAACCATTACAGCACAAAGACAGGCATGTTTACATGTGTCATCCCCGGTGTCTATGAGTTCAGCTTCCTCTGCACGTCCTTCATCAGTGGGGGAAATATCAACCTGCATCGTAATGACGAGATGGTGCTGCACAGTTTAAAGGTTTATCAGGGAGGTTACCACTTGTCATCAGGAGACACGGTGCTCCAGCTGGAGGCGGGAGACACAGTGTGGCTTGAGGCCAGTGACGGGACCTCCGGCCTGAGCACCAAGAGCTTCTTCTCTGGACACCTGCTCTTCCCTGTGTGACACAAACGCTCTCCAGACTGAACCACCACCCTTAAATATGCCAATGGTCTGTCTGCTTCAGGATGTTATTCTTTACTCAGCCTTTCTGCACTGATTTTCTCTTTCCATTAATCACATTGTCATAATATTCTATCAAATTTTGGGCCGATGGACCAGACAAGGGCACATCATGCAGCTGTTTTATATTTCTCTGAGATATTAAATATTTATAGTTTAAGCAAGCAGCCAAATGAATAAATGAAAATGAAATTTACTGCAGCAAATTTGCTCAGCTCTGTTACAGCATGCAGTTTATTGGATTGGAAGTTAGTCTGTAGCCAATTTTGATGGTGGGTCCAGTATTATTATCAATATTATGTGCACTGAAGAAATTTAAGCATGCCATGAGAATATTGTGTCTTGTGTTTTGTCTGTGAGGCTTGTTTTACTGTAACTTTATCTGTTATATTTTCAGTTCTATGAATAAACAAAAGAAAGTGAGCCACTTTTAATGTTGTGTTCATGTTTTCATATTTCTGAGACATTAGAAATCAATTCAGGCATCTTATGTGAGTCACAAAAAGAGAAAAGACTAACTAAAAGGTAATTTAAATGCTGTTAAATTGGGCTTATTTAGGCGGTATGAAAGCACAGGACAAACACAACATTATGGCGTAAGCGCAATTTGTGAATTAAAGGAAAAATGCATCATTTTAATATACAGTATGCCTCCTGCAGATGGAGCCATCGTTCTTTAAACAAAATAAATGTACACTTCATGTGGTGGCAGAACTGCTTTATCCTGTCAACTAGGACTTGAAAGCAGTGCATCTGAAAAAAAAAATGTTCCCATCAAAGTCACAGTTGTCCTATTTACATCTCATAAGTTAATCCTTAAGTGACTGTCTTCTGTGAAAGCACAACACAAAGTTATAAGTCAAGAGACAGTTTGGCAAAAGTCCCCTTCTTTCATACTTAACCTACATCTTCAAAATGTTACATCTCATTCATAAGATATAGAGAAATGCACCCCAGTTTACTTGCTATTCACTGTCCCCACCATTTTTAAACATGCTGAAGTTATTAAGGGTCACTGGTGTCAGAATGTACCCGCAGTGACCTGGATACAGGGGAAGGATAGACAAACTAACACACTAACATTTACAACTGCGGTTAGCTCACTGAATATTCTCCAGCCCACCTGGGCTGCATGTGTTCACACTGTGAAAAGAAAGTGGAGCATCAAGATGAAACAGGTAATGCAAACTTACTGTATACAGGAAGGGTCAGTGCTGAGATTTAAAGGGACAGTTCCCCCCAAAATCTCTGGATTGTTGGTGTGAATTACTGAGTGTTGGAGATATCGGCAGTCGAGGTGTCTGCCTTCTCTTGAGTATAATAGAACTAGATGTCACTTGGCTTGTGATGCTCAAGGAGCCTGTTTATACCTGATATTAACATGCGTCTTGGGTGATCCAATCACAAGTTGGGAGCGCGACATACATGTGTAAACAACCACGAAGACACATTGTGACTCAGTATAACCACGTGTAGTGGTGGTCTTGCAGCGTAAATACTAATGCGACCCCTACAAGGACTCTGTTATTACTCACAGTGACATCTCCACCTGTACCAACACAACCACTAGCATGACTAACAAGCAGCTAGCAAGAATGGAGGTGTTATGCTGCTATGCTAAACCTGGCTTTTAAAACGTCATCAGCCAAGGCTAGCGAGCCTGTAACTCAGTGCCTCTCCCTACGTGTTGCATTAGACGCGATTCTCCCTCGTGGCATGCTGCTCAGCTCAAAGGCCCCTTGTGGTCTCCCTCCAGGTGCAAATAATAGTGGCTAATGAGTCATTATCACCAACCGTCAAGTGTGAGGTCAGTGTTGACCATGCCTCCTACCACCTGCCTAAACCACACCCCCAAGACATTAATTATACTACCAATTAAGCTACCATAACAGGACGTAATAACCTTGTGTGGGGCCTTTTGACCCTCTAGCGTAAGTGACACAGGCAGTAATGGAATCCGAACACAAGTCATTAGCTGTAGACACATGATATACACAGGTGTTACAACAGTGATGTGTCTTGACTGTCTGCTTGTGTTCGTGGCACTCAAACAAATGTTAATACCAGGTGAAAAGAGGCTGAAAGATACAATTGAAAAACTCAACAACAATGTGGATTTAGTGCGGCAGAAAGGAAAGAGTTCCTACATTAAACTGCATCACAGGGTCTGTGGATTATATTGAACGAACAGGTCGTAGTTTCTGGAAAGAGACATTGCTGTTGAGTCTTTCGAACATTTTTTTTTTTGGCACTTTCAGCATCACAGGCTGAGTGCCATCTCGTTCCATTATATTGAAGAGAAGACAGACATCTCTTCAGCCAATATCTCCAACACTTGACAACTCACATTGAAACAATCTAGACTGATAAATAGCACTACAGATAAGAGGAAAGAAAATATCTTTGATTTTGGGATGGACTGTCTCTTTAAACTTGGGACCTTGCGATGATTGATAATACGCTCATGAAGCTTCAGCTTGCAGCCGGTTAGCGCTGACTGTACCCAGCTAGCCTCTCTCCAATCTGCAAAGCACCTCTAGTGCTCACTACAAACAAAAAAGTCGGCAATAAATTGTGAGCTGTTTTTACGGGTTCTTTGTGCTTGGCTATTTCTTGGCTCTTAGAATTCTGTTACTGTGACCGACCAAGACATAGTCTAAGTAAGAAGATGCAACATTTTTAACCTCCTATCATAGAGATCCAGGCTAGCTTTTGCCTCCTGTCTTTGTGCTGAGCTAAGCTAACCAGCTGCTGGCTGTAGATCCATGTTTAACAGACAGATAAGAGAGTGTTTTTCCATCTTCTCTAACCCTCCACCAGAAGGCCAACAAGCACATTTACCAAAATGTCAAACTAATGTGTCAATGTGTTCACAGCTTGTTTCAGCTGCCACCAAGTGGCCAAAAAAAATTGCAGGTTTGAGTCTGACAGTCGTCATCATTTCATTTTACCTAAAGACACAGTAGCGACATCCCAGTTCAGTCAACAGTGAAATTTCAGTGCTTCCACCAAAGAACGCTGACTTCCAGTGTGATCTATGTTTTGTGTTACCCCCAGTGTTTAGTCTGTTATTGTCTTGGCAAATAGAGACACATAAATCACTGCTGAAAGTCCAAAAAGAGCAAATAAATCTCTTTATCGCTGGATTAACTGGAATTTCTCCCTGCATCTCTGTGGTTGTGGGATGTGAGGACATAGTGGGAGTGAAAAAAAAAAGAAAGTACATCTGCATGAATCATTACACAATGTAAAGTTTTCTGGGCTGTTTCTTGATAAAGCGCTCCTCCTCCTGGTTGCAGAGTCCACAGTGTATGTGCAGAGTGCCACGTAGTCCACCAGACTGTCTGTGCGGTGAATGTGTGTGTGTGTGTGTGTGTGTGTGTGTGTGTGTGTGTGTGTGTGTGTGCAAACCCTAACTTGGTGCTCCAAGAGTAATGGAAACCCAGTATTTATGAAGGAGGAGAAAATACTTGAATTGTCTGTTACTCCTTTTGAGCCGAGATGAACCTGAGTTTATTCGAATAGGATGTGTTTTGCAAATGGGTAGAGGGAAAGTCAACAACCGGAGGGGAATGTAGGAGAGTTAAAAGCTGTAAAGGACTTTAACAAAAGCAGAGATGTCAGGGGATAGAAGTTGTGAGGTTTAAGTAGAGAGATGTGATTGGAGAGTCTTGGGAGTAGACCAGAGGAAGCGGTCCTTGCGGTGGATGTTTTGAGATATGTGTGCGGTCTGGTTCCACTGTGATGAGATCATAATGATGACATGAAAATGAATAATTGAATGCAAATGGAGAAAAAGAAATTGAACCAGAGAAAATTATACTTATTTTCAAACTGATGCTGGATTCGAGGAAGCCGCCAAAGTTGCAGCCATGTGGGTTTTACATCATATGAGGAGCACATTTAATAAGATTCACCTTATATGTAGACACTGGCTGCTGTAAATGCTTAAATGTAGGCTACACGTCTCAGGCGAAGTGGCAAATGTCTGCCAGATGTTGACTCAGTGATGGCACTGAATAATTGCTCTTGGTTTTATGGTAAATTTAGCATCATGAAAGGACGGAGATCTTTTTTCCCCCCTCTGTACTCAATGACGTGTCTCATGCAGGAGGCCCTGTCACTATTTTTCTTCCGTATTCTGCGACTCAGACGTGGATTTATTCAAATTCTTTCAGCACAGCCGAGTGCCCAGAAAGGCAGGAATGGGGGTGAATTCCAGCAACGTGGACAAAAGAACTCGGCTAATTCCTTGCAGATGTCTTTCTTGAGTTGTGCGGGGGAACACTGTGCTGCCCTCGCTGGAGAGAATTGGGACTCTGCATGGAGAAAGTTCAATGAATTACGAGTGAAAAACATCAGCGACCCGGTACAGCTGGTTCTGGCTGTCTGTCTGGTGTTCCAGGAGGGAGAAAGGAGGAAACCCAGGAACACATGCACATAGTTTTCACTCCCTGTATGCAGAATAAAAGGCGTGTGTTTTAGTCATCCCCAAACAAAAACACAATCACATATTGGTTAACAAAAAAGTAAAAGTGTTTAATACTGCAAACAAACACTACATGGTTAAAGGACAAAAAAAAATGCTTGAGGGCATCTCTGAAGACAAAACAGGAAAGATTTAAAAAAAGATCAGCCAGATTCATTGCTGCTGTTGCTGTGATTCAGTTTGGAAATATGTCTGTATGACTCTTCACTTTTTAATCCTCAGAAACTGGTTATTGTGAAACCAAGTCTGGGTTTTACAAAAGCATCTCCCAGTTTATCTTCCAGTGAGCTGCTGGAATCCTGTATCAGTATCAAACATTTCCCACTTATCTTTAACTCTTGAACAGCTCACATAAGTCTGCAGGGAGGATACATTTCCAGGAGCTCATATAACACCACTTGGCTCTGATTGGCCCTTGCAGCTTACACAAGCTGCAATGTAACATCACGTGACTGAGATGATGTGCGCCTTCCGTTATCCAAGAACAATACGACCGGTTTAACTGTAATTTACAGCATGACTTAATCAGCATACTCTACTATTAAACAGGAGCCATTCTCAGGCTGTGAAGTATTTTTATTCTTGCTCTCTTTCGCAGCTACTGTTTGGGCAGAATACATGTTCGATGGAATTGTAAATGTTCATGGTGATTTATAAGTCACCATCACACTGTGTTTTTACAGCTCCTGGAAAGTTGGTTTCATCAGTATTTCTCTGTAATGTTAAATATGCAACAATCAAAGTTAAAGGTATCCTGTGGAGTTTTTTTAAGCGCAAGTAGCTTTTATGAGTGGGCCCCTATTTTGCTTGTTATAATAATGATGATAATAATAAACTTAATTTACACAGAACCTTTCAAAACACTTATAGTGTGCTTTACAATAAAGCTAAATACATTTGAAATACAGGTAGAGTGAAACGAACTCAAGTGTCACCAAGTAAAAACATAAAATACAAGAAGACCGAGACTAAAATCAAAATAATACACAAGAAATTAAAATTTATAGCAAGCTTAGATAAAATCAGGATATGCTTTTCAGTAAAAGTAACCTAAGTTTTTAGGAGAGACTTAAACGAAGACCCTGACTCAGACAGTCTTCATTCCTTGGGAAGGTTTTTCCAGAGCGTATGGGTCCTGACTGCAAAGCTCTGTCCCCTTTTAGTCGTCAGCCAGGACTCTGATTGCTCACGTACACTCACATGAGAATGCAGATGTAGTTGCATGAACAAGCAGGTGACATGATACACATCTCTGATGTAGGTGATCTATAGGTGATGGAACTGCACCTAGAAATGCAGCAATGTGCCTAATAAAGGCAGGCAGGAAGAAGACTGCTTGGCTTGTTACTCAGCCAGTTTGTTAGACCTCAAGGATATAAACATTTTGGTAAGAAATGTCAAGTATAAACATAACATTGTATACAAGAAAATCCACACAGCACCTTTTAGATTTTATAAAAACAACTGTAATTATTATTTATTAAGAATGTAACAATCAAAACTCAGATTATCTGGATCTTTGGCACTGTATGGAAACAGATTCACACCTGTCATTTGATTTTGCTTCAATATTGCTTGACTGTGGTACATGGAGCCATGTGACATCACCTCTTTCCAGTTTAGTCCCGCCCACTGTTCTTGTTGGACACCAGCAGTCATAATAAAAAGCTGATCGAGGAAATGTGTTTTCCGCGCCTTTAAATGTGGTTGTGATGGTCAAACGGCAGGGCAGTGTCTAAATAAAGTTTATAGGACGTGTCAACTGAACACGTCTTAAGGAAGAGTGTTTAAAGGAATACTTCACCCGCAAAATGATCATTGGTAGTAAAGCAGTATAATCCAAGTCTCATTTATCCAGTCGCATTCTCAGCACTTCTAAAACAGGTGCATTTTCACTAAAACCTCACTATTACAAGTAGCGTGCCAGGGCAAGCTCGTGCATTTAATCTCTGCTCATGCATTTTATTGGGTTGTAGAGGCACGCTACTCGTCAGTGTGAGAGACTGCTTATGCAGAAGTGTTTTTAATGTTGGTTTTAGCAAAAAATGCATGATCATACTTATATTGCACAAGTTGTGTGAAAGTGTGTAAAAGTATGCCTTTAAATAGTTGCTGTTGTTAAAGGCAGCTCCCTTTACTCCATCAAGATTTTTTCCAGTTTTTGGATTCTTCGTTCACTGCAGAAGCATGTGAGAAAAAGATGTTTTCTGTATGAATTCAATCTAAAATTGGTAAGAAATTGATATTCATTCATTTTCCAGATCCGCTTATCCTCTTGAGGGGCGCGGGGGGGCTGGAGCCTATCCCAGCTGACACTGGGCGAGAAGCAAGGTACACCCTGGACAGGTTGCCAGACTATCACAGGGCTGACACATAGAGACAGACAACCATTCACACTCACATTCACACCTACAGACAATTTAGAGTCACCAATTAACCTGCATGTCTTTGGACTGTGGGAGGAAGCTGAGTGAAGAAATAAAAAAGAAAGCTTGACAGAGAAGTTTAAATGCCGATGACAATCATAGCCTGATTGGGTGGGCGTGATTGTCAGATTGTTGATTTGGAAAAGTTAAAGAAGTCTGATTCAAACATTGAAAAGGTGTGGGTGGGAGGGGGTTTCAGACGCTACTCCATCATTTGACAGCTGAAGCACTGACACGTTTAAGGAATAGTTTGATGCTTATTCACCTTACGGTGTAGAGTTGGATGAGAAGATCGATACCACCTGTCTGATAAATATGAAACTACAGCCAGCAGTCAGTGATCTTAGCTTAGCCTCCTAGCTTGAGCAAGGCCCTAAACCCACAGCTGCTCCAGTGTTGCTCTGCGGCAAACAGATCAGTCCATTGTTGTACTACAAGCCATTTCCAGATGTAAATGTGGGTGACTGTTTGAGTGGGAACATGATGTTCCTAAAAATGAAAACACTGTTCTCAGTATTTCTATTCTGGATTGATAACAGTTTATTAAATTACTCCATATGACCTACTTTTCCCCATGTTAGAGCCACTTGCCTCCATACTGTCTCTATAGGTGCTATCAGCTAATACTTTCAGTTGTAGCACTATTTGTGTCTGTATGTGATTCTTGTACTGGCTCATTCGCAGACATAAGAACAAAATCTGAAGAAATAAGAATGTAGAGTTCGTCTAAGGAAAGATCATAAGCCCCCACTTCCCCAAACAACTCCCTCAGGAACTGTTAAGAAAATGGAATGCAGCACTCCAATATTATTTGCAGTCATATGCCCCCTAGTGTCTGGATATGGGACACTGATGATTGATCTGTTATCAGGTCACAAGGGATCTGATTTGTTGTCTATAGACTTCTAGTACTTTGTTTTTAAAGATGCACAATAGCTCACTCTGGCAATAAATCTCTTGTACGCGTTGGACAAAAGTCTTCCTATGTAAACCAAATTTTTGGCTTTGAATTCACTCGCTGTTGTAAAACTTTGTGATTTGAGAAACTGTAAAATCTTTGTAAGCACTTGCTGTGGTTTAGCAGCCATGATGTGGTCAATTGTGTAGATGCTTGAAAGAATTTCCTGGTTTGCTCAACTGAGGAAAACGCAAAACCTTGGATTAAGTTTCCCCAAGCTATGCATTATATCTGGTGTTCATAGCAGGGCGGTGATTTGACTGGGCTGCTGCAGAGGACTTAGATTTATCAAGAGAGGAGCATGGGGTCACCAGCCTGCCACCACATGCAGTAATGCAGATATCAGGTATCACCACAGCCTCATCTTGTTTGTTGCTCAGAGCAGACTAATTATGACCTTATAGAAAATGACTGTGAGATGCATGTGATGAGTGTTGCACGTTGTCTGCAAGGCTCCAACGCAGACAGGACAGGGCGGAGGGGGGTTTGCGGGAGATGGTTTCTCAGAAAAAAAATTAAACTGTTGCAGGGCCATCAAAGAGTCATGTTTAGGTTTCTGAGATCCTCCTATGAGAAAGTGGAGTGCAGAGACTTCTGGCAGAGTGTGTTGCAATTTAGTTGGGAGTTCATCCAACAGTCAGGAAAAAAAGCTATTTATCATGACATTCTGTTGATCTGGCAAAGAAAGAAGAAATGAGGACAATATGCAGTAGTTTCTAGGGAATTGGTTGTGGTATTCATGTGAAATTCATCCTGACTGAGAAGGAAGAAAGTCTGCATCTGTCTGTTTTTATCTGCTATGGTTTGAAAAGTGCATCTGTTTGTGAGGAGGAAAAAAACTTTCACTTCTTGTTAGTGACACACGTTAACTGGTAATAACCACTTCTCACTGGGCCAGACTGAGCAGTTATCAAACACACTTGGCTGGGCATGATCACACATCACGTATCCATCCAGTGGTTATATGAGCAGCAGCACCAGACTTGTATAACAGATTCAGAAACTCCAAATGCTGAACTCCTCCTCCTCATCATCTCACTGGGCGCATCTGCAGGCTGCAGGAGCAGAGCGATATGAGTTTACACGGATACATTTAAACTAAGCTTTTCCTCTCTGCTCACTGAATATCCCTCAAAAAGAGATGTTGGATTTTTGAATTAAAGGCGAGTAGCAACTCTGGCTCAGTTGAAATACTCGCTTTGTCACATTCAATCTAATTGAATTGAGATCACAATGGGATTACGCATATTTGGCATGCCACTTTACGCATATGCGTGCGTCTATTTTTTTGTTTTCATCCTGCAAGCTGCCCGGTCTCAAACCAATCCGGGGACTCAGCAAGGAGACAACCAAAGAGCGGCTCTCCGGCAGACGCTACAGTGGTCTCACAACGGCAAGGTCTTTAGCATATTGAGCCAGGGGTCGGAGTACCAGCCACCGAGGCGGAGGGGCGCACCTCAGGAGCAAGTGCAGGCGCGACCTGTCACCATCATTCGTGATGCGAGCGTGAGACAACCGGACAATCCGAGCCAGCCGGCGGCCCAGCAGCAGCAGCCTCCCCGGCCGGCATCCAATCCTCACAGCCCCCGCGGGCTCCCGCCTCCGCTCCAGAGGCTCCTGAGAGGGCAAGAGAACCGCCAGCATCCCCATGACCGCCCCGCTGAGCGCACGGAGACGCAGAGGAGAAGCAATGACACCGAGCAGAAGCTCACTGTCAGCCCACCTCCGCCCCGGAGAGAAGACATGATGGTCGGTGATGACCCCTACGACCCCTACAAGTCCATCGACAGCGATAATCCGTATTACAATCATTATGACGTCTATGAGAGGCCGAGGTCGAGATCAAGATCGAGACCCGGATATGGAACAAGGTATCATCAGTACGGTAAGAGTGGAGAAAGTGTTCTCAAGACTACACTAACCAGATAGATATGACCCTTTAAGTGGAGTTGTTTCAACTCTGGGGGGGCACACATATTTGGGTGAAAATTTTGAGCATCAAACACTTAATTTCCTGCATTCTGGTAACTTCTACGCACCAATTTGTGTCTTGTCTGCACCAATTTATGGTGTTTAATTTGGTCAAAATAAAAGTCCTCTGCTACTTTAATGTTCATGCTCTAAATAGTGAGGTGAGGACATGCCCCCCGTGCCCCCCCTGAAATATACACCTATGCTAAAATGCTTCCAGTGTGTCAGTCAGTCTGTTAATCAGTTAGTGTTGTCTCATTTTAATTTTCTGCATCTATTTGGCATCTGTTAAAGTATTAGTTTGAGAATGACCCATATTCATTTACGACCTGGTTCATGTACCACATATTTATTATAATGCTGTATTGTTGTTATAGGTCTGCCCGATCTCGTACCTGACCCCTACTATATTCAAGCCTCTGCTTATGCCCAGAGAGTCCCAATGTACAACCTGAGATGTGCTGCTGAGGAGAACTGTTTGTCAAGGTAGACTCACGTCAGAACTTATCCACAGTGAAAGAGAGAAAAAAAAAAGACGGGGTTTACATCCAAGTCTGAGTGTGATTCAGAGAGCTTTGAGCCATAACAACCACCTAAAGTGTTTGTGGGTGAGGGTTGCCCAGTGGAACCATGAGATGAGGTCAAATTAACCGAATCCTGCCACTGGAGACGGGGTGGAGTGGAAGTTTAATCATAGTTTGCCCCGAGGAGAGAAAGCCCGAATGGTAAACACATTATCGAAAACTAACCCAAACAACCACGTGCCTCCAAACTATTTTTCCAGCCTCCATATACACATAGACTGCCTTCACTCAGACACAGAGAATCTGCTCCACTCAGACGGGGGGGGATCGAGCAGGAAAAACAATCTCAGTGACGTAATTGTGTCCACATATGACCTGTGTCTTTTTTTCCTGCAAACTTATGCTCTTCCTTTTCTTCATGTTGGCAGCTCGGCTTATTCAGCCAGAGACTATGACACCCGTATGCTGCTGAGGTTTCCTCAGAGAGTCAAGAACCAGGGGACGGCGGACTTCCTACCCAGCAGGCCACGTTACTCCTGGGAGTGGCACAGCTGTCATCAGTGAGTATAATGTCATGTCAGTGCTTTCCACCTCATCATCACACACAGAAAGAGAAAGTTTCTGAGACTTGTGGCTGCTCTCATGTGTCATTTGTTCTCACTGGCCAACATGCTGACATCAATTAGAGGCATTTACATGAGGAATTCATGCATGGAAACATAAACTAGATCTGGTTCTACTTTGGAGAGAAGTGTCTGAATCAGATACAGATAAAAAACATTCAAATGTTACCTTACTCATTTGTTTTTAAAGGTCCAGTGTGTAGGATTTAGTAGCATCTAGTGGTGAGGTTATAGAATGTAAACCTCTCCCACATGCCAAGCGTGTATGACAGGAGAAGGCAACCTGCGGCTACAGCTCTTTAGCCCTTCTCCAGTGGCTTTGACAAAAATATATGGAAATGAATCAGTTCAACATTTTAATTTTCATTTATCATTGTTGTAAGCCTAAAGTGATTCTGACATTCTTCAAGTGTAAAAATGCGTAGTCTTTACACCAAATAAACAAACACTTGTAACATTTTGTAAACTAAAACATGCGTTGTGCATCAATGGCCTGACGCTTTAACCTCTCCATTTTGCAGAACCTCAATAGTGGAGGCTAGTGTTGAGTGTAGCTGGGCTAGCTATGGATTCCAAAAAGTCTCGCCATAGCTGCAAAGCTGAGGTACCAAATAATCATAAATTGTCCAGTGGCCCAGTCTACCATGTGGTAAAACATATTAATGAATGCTAATTTAGACCTATCAGTAATGTTTATAGGCTAAGTTAGATTGGCGGTTCAATCCCCGGCTCTTCCAGACCGCATTTCGAAGTATCCTTGAGGAATATACTGAACCCAAAATTGCTGTTCCTTCGGTGTGTGTGTTAAAACAAACTGAGTAGCAGGTGGCACCACCAGTGCAAAAAAAAAAAAAAAAAAAAGCACCTTGAGTGGTCGGAAGACATGTACCATTTACCAGTTTGCCGACCGTGGTGTAGAAGAACCACAGTGGCCGACCTGAAAATGCAAATGGCCCTGTCTAGAACCAGCGTTTCATTTTTTCGTTCTGGGCTACTGTAAAACAACATGGTGGACTCCGTGGCAGAGGCAGGCCCCAGGAAGTGCACCAGACCTTGAAGCTAATTTGGCATAGTAGCCAAACTGTGTAACTACAACTTCCAGGTCCGTCACATGATGCCATTGGAACTTTTCCCTATAGACTTACATAGGGAAAGGGACGTCTGTAAATCAGTAGATAATTCTTTTTGAGCATCGTAACCCCCACGAGATGACTCATTTCTCTATTGGGATTTGATTCATTCTGTCTGTAAACATTTTAAAGGTTTAGAAGAGCCGCAAGATTTAATCATTTTATCGCTAAACCGGAAGTAGCTAGTTAGCTACTCGGCCGGCAAATTCTCTTGTGTGCTTGCTGTATGGGCCCAGTGATGCAGGAGATCTGGGTAATTGTACGCTTGAGAAGTGAAACTTTTTTGGCTTCATTCACTACTGAGCAGCTTCCATAGGAATGAACTGAGCCCTGCCTCCAACAGCTCATTCTAAGGTGACAAAAACACTATCTTATTTTCAGGTGATTATGCACTAATGAAAGTATAGGTATGAATATTATATACCATTTCTCCCCCTAAATCCCACACACTGGACCTTTAAGAGTTTAAATTGCAGATGGAATATTGTCTTCACACATTGTCACTCTGTAATTGTTTTGTTCGTCATTTAGAAATATAAGCAACCACTTCTTTGCAGCAGTTTTCTTCACTACATCATTTGTCTTCTCCAGCCTGTAGTTGTGGTATGGCACCCCCTGTTGAACCACAGTTGTGTTACTTTTGGCTGTTTTATAGTTTTTGTTGGCTCTTTTATTGCGTTGCAGGGATTTGGGTATCAGGACTGACATCTTAAAATGAGTTTTAATTGCATCGTCAGGCTTGTAAAGATGTCATTTTCTACTTTTGCAAACTCGACATAAAGGCAATGAAATGGGCTGTGACTGTGACTGAACTGTGTGTGACCTTTGCATTCAGTTAATTTATAGCTGCGAAGCCAGACGTTGTAAAAGAAAGTTCTGTGATGGAGATAATGAGCCAAAAAGGAAAACTGCTGGTATGGTTGTCCCTTTCTTGAGTGCATGGAAAAGTGCCTAGTTTTCCTTGATTCTGCAGAAACTACCTCAGTCCATAGTTATGTTGTGAAACAACCAGTTCACTGTGCAAATCCTCAAGATGGAGCACACATGGCAGAGATCCAATAAACTGTTGATGTAGACTGTATAGAAATTTTGTCAGTGTTTTGAAAGTCGACTTATGTTAAAATCCAGACTGTTTTTCTCTCATTAAACAAACTAAGATAATGGAGTTACAGCAGAATCAGATCCACTGTTGCTCTACATGAACATGATGAATTAAATAAACACCTGAGATGTTTGCAGTCACAGCAACTTGTAGCCTGGAACTTGTCAACATTTAAAAATTAATCTGTAATTATGTAAATGTGGCTCAGGAGCAAAAATGGTCCCTGGTGAGACTAAACGTGACAAACAGCACATGGTTGTTTTACTGATGTTGAACTCACTCAGTTCAGTTTATAAACGCCTGCAGCTGTTGAACACTGTCGCTGCTGATCCACAGGCACTTCCACAGCATGGATGAGTTCAGCCACTACGAGCTGCTGGATGCCTCCACTCACCACTCGGTGGCCGAGGGCCACAAGGTCAGCTTCTGCCTGGAGGACACTTCCTGTGACTACGGCTACTACAGGCGATATGCCTGCACCTCACATACACAGGTCTCAAACATACCTACTTAAAATATAACTGTTGAAATGTTATTATTAACTTTAAAAGAGCTATATTTGACATTCAGAGTGTTTCTGTGACTTAGAGTCTGGGCTGGGATTGTCTTCACACGGCTCTAAAGATTGATGATGCATCTCCACTTCCTCCCAGTGTACGAAAATGTAGCCAAAATACCTCAGATGCGAGCGCTGCCATCTTGCACTTTCAGAGCCAGAGTCTGCACAGTAGAAAGCTGGAGCTGTAGTATCGAGTTTCTATACACCAGCGCCATTGATCACGAGCACACCAGTGACACACGGCTGTCAATCATGATGTCGAATTCCTTTTTATAGCATCAGATAACTTATTAAAACCAAACATATCAGAAAAAACACCTGAACTGTCTTCAGTGACAGAAACCATCTTCTGGAAAAAAGTTCTTTGATGTGTATTTTGATTTTTTATTTCAGCTCATGTTTCATCCGATAACAGTGAGGGGGCGAGTTTTACGATCTATACTGCAGTCAGCCACGAGGAGAGAATGAGAGGTTTTAGCATCACTTTTGGAGAACTTTCGTGTCGTCCATCTTTATATACAGTCACTGTTGTAAGGCAGCAATACACGTGCAGCTCCTGAGTCCAAGACAGATTTCCCTACTGGGACGTATCGCATCATACAACAAAGTACAGAGAAGCGCGGATTACAACACACACAGAGGGAGCTTGACTTCATTCTTTTCACAGGACGCCATCATTCCACTATACCTTTAAATTGCAAATAGTAGTTTGCCGCTATATTAATGCTCTGAATGTCATGTGGAGCTCCTTTAAAGCTGCTCTTATCAACAGCTAAAACCTCCGATAAACCAATTGTACACTTCCTGCTCAGCATCAAACGGCAGACAGACAACACCAGCGATTACCTTTTGGACACAGTGAAGAATATAGCAGCTAAGGAGACGGATATTTTCCTCAGGAGTTGGTGGAGACCAAATACAGAGCTAAAAGAGAGCGCACATTTTTATTATATTTATCATGTGGCCAGAGACATAACTCCAAATGAACAATAATGCTGCTTTGTGTCAGCTGGATGTGTAAATAAGCAACTTTTTGCTAGCAAGACTGCCACATCAACTATATAAAGTTATCATACATCAGTCTGCTGTTTACAGGTTGTTTTGAGCTGCCCCCAAGTGGCCAAGGGAAGGAAGCTCAACAGGCAATTAGCTGCTGTAAATAAACATGATGCACAGAAACATCGAAATAACACAGTGACATAACCCAAACGATGGCTCTGCTCTCGTCAACTGTCACAATAGTGGGATAGTGAGCCAGCATGCACAATACAAGGACCATTTCATTATTTATATGTGTGCTTTTCCTGTCGTGACATGTCAATTTGTCTTCAGTAAAAAAGATCTATTTGAATTATTGTGGTTGCAAAATAAAAGCCAGTTCACATCAAGACATATAGCTATAACGATACTAAAAACTGCAGTGATACCCTGCTGCACATTCACACTTTAATGGTTTAGTGTCATTTGGGTTTAGATCAGATTAGAGGATAATGACTTCTAATGACTCGTTTCTCATTAAATGACTTGGTTGTAGGATTTTGCTTTATACATTCCTTAAAATGGAAAAGAGAGTAACTTAGAAAAACAAGCACTCTATTCGTGAAGCAGCCGCCCTTTAGAGAACAACTTCAGTATTTCCTTTTTGCACAAGCCAGTGGTGATTAAATGATTTCCTGTAAGATGATCCCACCTGCCTGGACGTCTGTGATCAGTTCTGCTGCACATGATTTATTTTTTCCATCCTGTTCTTTTCTTTATTTTGACTGGCTGATTTCTGTCTTTCTTCATCTCTGTTTGTCCCATTTTTTTTTTATCACAAGTGTTATATACTTACCGTTAGATATTAGACTGTACTACTTTGTTACAGATACTGCTCTGTATGTTAAAGGGAATTATTTGTTTGTTTATATAATGTGTTCATGTGGATGGTGTCCAATGTGCAGGGTCTGAGCCCAGGATGTTATGATACCTACAACGCAGACATCGACTGCCAGTGGATCGACATCACAGATGTGAAACCTGGAAACTATATCCTCAAGGTCTGTCCGAAAAACCAGATGACATTTATCTCCCTCGTGAGACACTAAACCCCTTTAAAGAATTGCACCTGGTGTGGAGTCACCTTGTATCCATGAGTATATGTTGTTTATTTATTTTTGCTGCAATGTTATTGATTCTTATATATCAGCCACATATATTTTTGTTCTCACAGGTCAGTGTAAATCCACACTATCACGTCCCAGAGTCAGACTACAGCAACAACAACGTGCGCTGTGACGTTCGCTACACTGGCAACTACGCCTACGTGTCAGGATGTCACATGTCATCGTGAGTGTCATGTCTCAAGTGACAAATATCTCTTTGATATTTCTTGCATCCTCCGTAAATCATCATGATATTTTTATTCTCTTTTTTCAGGTATTAAGAGATAACGGTCATTTGCAGCAGCTCAGTGGAGATGCTCTGTAAATGACAATGCAGAGGACTGCATACAAAAGCATATAAACCACCATGAAATAAATGTTAGACGTTCATTTTATTATTTAAAATACTCCCAATTTAGAAAGAAAAAGACAAGAAAGAACAAAAAAAGACTCATCTGACGTCATAGTGCCAGATAATGTTGAATTCTTCTTTGCTTGTGTTGTAAAGCAGCTTTCCTCCTTTCTGATAAATATATTCTTATCTCATCTTTTCTTACGAGCATTTTTCATTTCTGACTTTTTTCTATTGCATTGTACTGTATGCTTGCATTTAATACCACTTGTAAGATAGTTAAAGAATAAAATCCTTGAAATTTAGAAGCTTAGAATACCAAGTTACAAAGGATAACAATTCAATATCGATTATATCACGATTTTAAAATGAACCAGCTGTAAAGGAAAATGTATTTGTTATATTTATATGCAATGAAAGAAACTCTTTTTACTTCAAAGCTTTTGTTGAAACTGAGTTGAATAAAACTTTGTGAAAGTGTATCACCTTTTTAGACTGAGCCATTTGAAGTGACTTCCCCATCTTGCCTTTGTTTCTGACCTTTATAACACACACACTGAGAGTCACAAACAGACAAACATGGTGTAAAAGAAAGGTAAACACAAAAGGTTGAACGTAGGGCTGCAAACTAATGATTTTCTTTACAGTTTGGGATTTTTTTCATGAATCCATTAATTGTTTGGTCGATAAAATGTTATAATGATAAAGTGTTTTAATTCTACATACTTGATTTAATTTAATTTAATTTTATTTTGGGGAAGGAATGACCTGATTCCTGTAAAAAGTATACATAATATTCCAAAGATACATGCTGATTTTTAAAGATTATTCCATAAATAAGTACTGCAGTGATTTCATAGACTATTTTGTTTAAATTAAGTCATTGAACTTGTGAAGAGAACAGAGACAGAAATATTCTGATCAGTGGTGTGATCCTTTGTTAGAGTAAAAATAATAATAATAATAGAGAGGCAGCGGGCATATGACTGACTGGTGACATTAACAGTGTCATTAAACGTAACATTATAAAATAAAAAAAAAGGACATTTTGAAATAAAAATGAAATGATATTCAGCTTCAACAAAAATATTTTATTATGAAGGAATGATGTAATATTTTATTATAGTTAATAAGTGGAATATTTTATATTTTTTAAATTATTGTGTGCTTATATTTTACACATTTAATTAATTAAATTAATTATTTTCTGATTTATTTTGTTACTTAATATTCAATACTTTAGTGCTGAATGCTACATTATTCGGAGAATTATTATTATCAATATTATTATTATTAATAATGTAGTAGTAGAAGTATTATTATATAATTGATTAATATTTATTCATTTATTTTTATTTATGTTTTATTATTACCTGGTGACGTGCAGCACACTCCGGTCCAGCAGGGGGCGCCACTGAGTCTTTGTCCATGTTGTTTAAATCCAGTGATTTTCATCAGGCTGCTGGGAGAAACTGGAGTCAACCACCACCACCAGCAGTGTGTGTGTGTCTATGAGAGAGTGTGTGTGAGCCTCAGGACCAGATATTACTGACTAACCTGTTTGTTTGTCACGTTAACATGCATCACCCGGTCCGAGTGTCGATCCCGTCGTTTCGGTCAGAAAACAACTCGATCGAGAAAGGATACACGGTAAGCTGCTCCATAATAACCTCTGTGTGTCGGTGTGTGTCAGTGTGTGTGTACCTGTGTGTGTCGTCTGCTCTGCTGCTGTCATCAGTTTCTCATTTTAACTCCCATATCATTTATGAAGCCTTAAAATCATAAAGTATCTTCCGTTTAACACCAAACTGCTTTAGTGTCGCTGTTAAATTAATGTTTGTTGGTTCAGATGATTCACAGCACTGAATTCACCCTGTGTTTACACACTGGAAACACCTCACTGATCAAAACTACTTATTAAAAACAATGTAAAGAGTAAAACATGTTATACATGAGTCTAATCAGAGCCATAGGGTGAACCAGCCCACTCAGGATCCTCAGCTGTCTGACAGAAATAGACTTGGATTTAAATGAAGCTGTCTGACATCAGACACCTAATATCAAGTGTTAATGAACCCTTTAAACTCATTTTACCTCCATAAATTCACTATAAAGGAGCACACTAGATGTTTATACTTTTAGTGATCCAAAAAAAAATAAGACCGTTCACAATCAGAGCAGCACCAGCTGAGATATATTGACTTTACTTCTTAGTGTAAGTCAGCCTCCACACACACATGGGAGTTTACACTGCACACAGCCTGTAGGTTAGGCTCCAAAACTCCAGGTTTCAATGCAAACTTTCTGTCAATTACAAATCTTATACAACCTCTTTTTCCCCTATATTTAAAGCACATATTTTGCATATATTGTATATAATTCTTACTCTTATTTCTACTTATGAATATATTGTGTTGCACATTGTAGGATCATACACATAGTTTTATATTTCTAACTTTTCATACTAGTTTTATACATTTTAATGTGGCATGAGGCTCATATTTTTATATCTTTACACACTTTACATACTCAGCACATTAAACATATTCTATATTTTTAAATATTTTACATACTAGTGTTAACATTGTAGCATACATAGTTAATACTTTATACCTCTTATTTCTGCTTCTACATGAAAGCGACTGTAACGTATCACAATTTCCACTGGGGATCAATTAAGTGTTTCTGATTCTGGTTAGATGTCATATAGGCTATACCATGAAGACATGACTGTGATGTTAATCCTCTCATCTAACTCCTGGTAAGACAGCCAATGACCGTATTTGCCAAAATGTCCAACTGTTCATTTAAATCTGTATTCCTTACATAAAAACTGCTTTGATTGAATGATAATGAAAACACTGAATATTTATACTGACACTGACAAAGAAATTTTTAATGCGGTTCGGTCGTTTCATGGATGATAACTGATCTACATGAGAGCAATAGCAAGTTTATTTCTATAGCATATTTCATACACAGGGCAATTCAGTGAGCTTTACATAAAGTAGAATAAAAACATAGTGCAAGTAACCTCAACTATGTTATATCTTATTCTGGAACACCATATTGAGATAGATGAGGCCAGTATTGACTCTAATACCAACCTAGTGTATTGGACTGGTGCATCCTTAACTTTTAGCGTCCCTGAGAGGTCAAACTGTCCAGTATTTGACAAGAAGAAAGCAACAAACACCAGGTTACCTTGTTCTGACCTCCAGGTGTGGAACCAGTGTTTTATATTAGAGTGTATTATAACTTAGTGGCAGCAGTTTGGAGAAGGTCCTGTCCTGTTTCATCATGACAGTGCCCCCATGCACAAAAACAGCTCCATAAAGGACTTGGCGTCTGCTACAGAGTCGCCTTAAACTAGATTATATCATAAGCATGGGAGATTGTAAAAACAAGATTAAGGACAGTTTGACCCCTGAATGAACACGTCTGCTCACTGAATGCTGGTTATTCAGTAATGAAACTGTAAATTGTTTGTTTGTACTAAGTGCGTTGCTCGTTTCTTGCATGTTCAAATTTTTTTACTTTGTTTGTCCATGTGAAAGTCTTCATGCTGCTGTCTTGGCCAGGACTCCTTTGCAAAAGAGATTCTGAATCTAAATGGGAACATTTCTGGTAAAATAAAGGATCACATATGGGTTTAATGTATGAATATATATATTTTTACAGTGATAAACCACTGGGATTTTTATAGCATTATGAAAACAGTGAATATATTTGATGTCATCAGTGTCTTTTGGACATTTTTCACCTTTTTTTTGCAGTTTCTTTCCACATTGATGAAAACGTTTTATTGCTGAGTTGTTCCACAATTTGTCAATAACGCTGGCTCTTGGGCGATGCAGTATGCGTTAATGTTGCCAGGACAGAATTGCAGTAACCACTGCCGTCATTCAAGAGCGAATTTCCTCATTTACCTAACACTGGCGAGAAGAGCGTTGTTTTACGGAAGAATCGAGCTGAGTGACGGAAGTAGAAGTCTGTTTAGGGATGTTAACTGTAATCCTGACAGATCACTTTTTTTTTTACAGCAGCCAGATGTTTCCTCTTGGTAACCAGCTGACACAGGCTGTAACTGACAGCTCTGCAGTCAGCTGGTCAGTCCGTTACACGCCATGCACGGATGCACTGGGAGGGGCCGTTGTTGGCTGATGGGCTGTGGTGATAAATCATGTTTATGACTCTCAACAACAGAAGTCACCCTTTTTGCAAAGAGTAGTACCAACATTTTCCTTCTTTCCTTTCTGTCTTTCAGGTCTTCAGAATTGATGTGCTGATGAACGGCAGACAACATTCTGTTGAGAAACGTTACAGTGAATTCCACACTTTGCATAAAATGGTGAGCTCCAGTGAATCCCCAGAGTGCAGACAAAGTCCTCCTTATCATGAGTCCAAATTTAATGTTCAAGTCCTTAACCTTAGCATTTAATAAGTGAAAACCTTATGATATTACAGGGTTCCCACAGTCATTAAAAAACCTGGAAAAGCCATGGAATTTCACATTAATTTTTTCCAGGCCTGGAAAAGTCATGAAATTTCACATTATTTTTTTCCAGGCCTGGAAAAGTCATGAAATTAGTAAAAACCTTTAAACGTTTTGGTAAACTCCTGGAATTTTGTTGTGTATAATGAAATTGTTACAGTAATCTACTATACTGTAACATAACAGCACTTTTATTTCCATGTCAACCTAAAATAATATGCATCGATGTGTGACAATGTTTTATTTACCATCCTGTATGTGTCTTCATTTTCTCCTCGCCTTCGTCTCGCTTTTCCTGTATGCCAGCTGGCAGAAATTATGTCTGAATAGAGTTTGAAAAACATCAGGCAAGTGGGGCAAAAAGGGAGTTATTATGGGTCCTTGATAAGTCATGGAAACGTTTAAAAGTTTGTCTGTAAAAATGTGTGGGAACCCTGATGTTAACATATTAACTATTACAGTTGATTATGTATTTTTCACTGATATTTAAGATGAAACGGAGTTTCAGTGTCTTTGCTGTACTGCATAAAATGCAAATGATGACTTTATTAAGGACACAGAGAACGGTCCATAGCATACCACAAAAAAAACCATTAGTCTATGTACAAAAATACTAAATATATCTATAAAAAGACAAGAAATACCCAACACTACTTTATATAAGTTCTTAAAAATGGATAAAATTCAATAAACTGCACCTACAAACAAGCTGGAGAGCCAGTCTAGATGAAAACCTGACTGAGCTCAGCTCAGGGTTGGACAAGGTCTGGATGATATGATACTATTCTTTGAGACGGAGAGCCTAAGTCTTTGCATATTGCTCTTCCCACAGGAGCGCCACAGGGCGGTATGCAGCGGGGTACAAAATGCTCTAAAAAGAGCGTTCTTTACATTAACTGAATACATGCTGAATTTGTGAGCAAGCATATTAGCATATGCATACAACTTGTGACACTGTCTGTGGATATCTTTATCACCAGATAAATCATAGACAATATAATGGCTGAGATATTTAATCTCATTACACACTTTAAGAGCAACACCAGATAAAAAGAATTCAGGAAATACTAATTTTCTTCAACAGCTGTTGTAGGCCAGCACTATATGGGCAGAAGATTACCAAGTCGTCTGCATACAGAAGATGATTATCAATTGCTCAAACTACTAAAAATGTATTGACAACCGTTTAAATTACTGGTTATCATTTTATGTAAATTATCAAACAGAAATTGCCAGATATGTGTAGGTTGCAGTTTCATCAGAAGGACTTTTCTCATATTATTAATAATTCATTTTGTCTGTTGCCCTGTCAAATAATTGGAGCGTATGATCACTATCCGAACTTCTCCAATCAAACAATACCTGCATTTGATCCATTTTGTACACAAATCTAGAGAAAAAGTCTATTTGTATGGTTTTGCTTGCAGCAAATCACAGCCGGTGTTCTTAGATTTTATGTGACATGTGATTGGCGCTCCACTGCAACAGGTGCAACTGAGTCTGGGGTGTGGTGAAGTAAAGCGCAGTGTCTTTTCAGTGTGCCAAGATGCCACCAAAACAAAATGGCGTCTGCTGGCATTTTACACAGCTGAATGCTTCCATTCACATAATGGGCATCAAATGAAGAAGAAGAAGAAAAAAGGAACCAAATGAAGCAGTGTTTTGGTATCAGTATCACTTTAAGGGTACTGGTTTTGTAATTTTTTTTAAATGATACCCAGCCCTAAAGATGACACGTTGTGCTCTATCTTCCACCTTCAGTGTCTGAGATTTTACAAAGTAAACCATTAATTCAATGATCACAAAACTAGGTACAACATAATTTATGTAGCCCATTTCAAAGACATAACATTGGCTTTATTTACTAGTACAACATCCAGAAGTGTGTACTGTAAGCATGCTCAGGAAATCACTACAGCAGATAAATAAATGATTAATGTCCTCTGGTGGTTAACCACGTTCACCATACCATTTTGTTTGAGGTTATTTACAGATGAATCCCTCTTCCTGTTCTGCTCAGTAGTCGAGCAGACTTGCAGTGGAGCTTTGCTTTTCACACCTTTATACACTGAAAACACTTTGACATGTCACAGTATTAAATGCACAGACAGTTGCTCACTAAATGATTAAATGATTGATGGCAGAGTTCCATTTAGCTGCTTCATTTTCAGGGTCCTAATATCGTGCATGCTGCCTCACTGCTATGACTTACATTATGACAAAGTCAGAATGTCTGCAGTCTGTGAAAACTGCCAATTATGGTGAACACATGGTGGGTTATCACTGATGTCAGTAGGAGTATAGTATGTGTTTAGTGCTAATTAGGAAACGTGGGCATGTTAGCATTTAGCTCTAAGCACCACTCTGCCTACAGCTTCCAGGCCCCCAGGAATGCCGCTCAGCCCTGCCTCCAATTGTTCCCAGTGGCCACTTGCAGTATTGCAGCAAAAAATCCCTGGTGGCCCAGAAAGCATTTTCCCACAACACTGTAAAACTGTGGACAGGACATCTCAGACTGCAGACTGTCAATTATGACTCTTTCTATTATGAATTTTTGACTTTCTTCAAGCTGAGAAAAGCGTTTTAAAAATCTGTGACGTCACTACAATGTAAAGTCTTTGAGCCAAGTGGGAATCTGCGTTTTGAACCAACGAGCGTTACACTACTATTAGGCGCCATCTCGGCATCTGGTATCTAGGTATTATGACAGATCTATGTTTTTTGATGCTTTTTATAGACTTTGGCACCTTAAATACATCAAAACTACAAAAAATCCCACTGTGAATCAATTCATTTTCATCATGAATTAGACAATGTTCTGGGGCCAACCAGCACCCTATCACAAGGCAGATTTGGCCCTCTGGCTTTAAGTTGAGTATGACTGCTGTAGACTCTTGTTTGTCCTGTATTTTTTAATATGATGTTTTCAAATCCCTCCAGCTAAAGAAGAGCATAAAGCCACCTGAGATCCCCTCCAAACATGTTAGAAACTGGGTTCCCAAAGTCCTGGAGCAGAGGAGACATGGTCTGGAGCTCTACCTGCAGGTACTTCGACACACTGCCACTCCACCTACTGTTTGCTGAAAATAAAGAACAAAAAGTTCCTTTATGCAGATGAAGTCAGAATCATGAACGCAGCTTTTCTTTTACCAAATCCAGATTGTGTCTAGCGCAGAGTAAACACACAGAGATACAGTACAGATGTAGGGAGATTAAACAAAGCCAGAATATCACCAGAGAGTTCATGCAGGTTACTCCAGTTGTGTACCGCCGCCGCTTCATGTGCACATTGCAATTTGCTTTTGTTTTGTCTGTTTTGCCAGACTATAATTATGGAAAATGGAGTTCTCCCAAAGATATTCCTGGATTTCCTGAATATCCGCCATTTTCCTTCAGTGCCAAAAACAGAAAGCTGTGGGTGAGTTGAATCTATGAAATGAAAGACCAGGTTTGTGGCAGTTTTTAAAAAATCTGTGTGAGAGGATGCTGCCAGGCCTGTGGACGACTATGTGGCTTAACTTTAATTCTTTTTCTTTAAGGTCATTTGATACAGAATCAGAGGAATCAAGGTGAGTCTACCACATAAAATGCTTCAGTAAATACCCCACTTGTGAATATTGAAGCTTTTACGTGTCATACATACAAAAGACAGTTGCTAACAAGTGGCTAAATGAGACTACAAAGGTTGTCCGCAGGCCCACCCACAGAGATCCAAAAGGTCCAATAAATGGGTCGGCCCTTTAGATCAGTGGTTTTCAAACTTTTTGTGCCCAAGACACACCAGAGGGAAGCCAAAATCTCAGGCAGACCTGTATTTACAGTACAGGCCAAAAGTTTGGACACACCTTCTCATTCAATGCGTTTTCTTTATTTTTATGACTATTTACATTGTAGATTCTCACTGAAGGCATCAAAACTATGAATGAACACGTGGAGTTATGTACTTAACAAAAAAAGGTGAAATAACTGAAAACATGTTTTATATTCTAGTTTCTTTAAAATAGCCACCTTTTGCTCTGATTACTGCTTTGCACACTCTTGGCATTCTCTCCATGAGCTTCAAGAGGTAGTCACCTGAAATGGTTTTCCAACAGTCTTGAAGAAGTTCCCAGAGGTGTTTAGCACTTGTTGGCCCCTTTGCCTTCACTCTGCGGTCCAGCTCACCCCAAACCATCTCGATTGGGTTCAGGTCCGGTGACTGTGGAGGCCAGGTCATCTGCCGCAGCACTCCATCACTCTCCTTCTTGGTCAAATAGCCCTTACACAGCCTGGAGGTGTGTTTGGGGTCATTGTCCTGTTGAAAAATAAATGATCGTCCAACTAAACGCAAACCGGATGGGATGGCATGTCGCTGCAGGATGCTGTGGTAGCCATGCTGGTTCAGTGTGCCTTCAATTTTGAATAAATCCCCAACAGTGTCACCAGCAAAACACCCCCACACCATCACACCTCCTCCTCCATGCTGCACAGTGGGAACCAGGCATGTGGAATCCATCCGTTCACCTTTTCTGCGTCTCACAAAGACACGGCGGTTGGAACCAAAGATCTCAAATTTGGACTCATCAGACCAAAGCACAGATTTCCACTGGTCTAATGTCCATTCCTTGTGTTTCTTGGCCCAAACAAATCTCTTCTGCTTGTTGCCTCTCCTTAGCAGTGGTTTCCTAGCAGCTATTTGACCATGAAGGCCTGATTGGCGCAGTCTCCTCTTAACAGTTGTTCTAGAGATGGGTCTGCTGCTAGAACTCTGTGTGGCATTCATCTGGTCTCTGATCTGAGCTGCTGTTAACTTGCGATTTCTGAGGCTGGTGACTCGGATGAACTTATCCTCAGAAGCAGAGGTGACTCTTGGTCTTCCTTTCCTGGGTCGGTCCTCATGTGTGCCAGTTTCGTTGTAGCGCTTGATGGTTTTTGCGACTCCACTTGGGGACACATTTAAAGTTTTTGCAATTTTCCGGACTGACTGACCTTCATTTCTTAAAGTAATGATGGCCACTCGTTTTTCTTTAGTTAGCTGATTGGTTCTTGCCATAATATGAATTTTAACAGTTGTCCAATAGGGCTGTCGGCTGTGTATTAACCTGACTTCTGCACAACACAACTGATGGTCCCAACCCCATTGAGAAAGCAAGAAATTCCACTAATTAACCCTGATAAGGCACACCTGTGAAGTGGAAACCATTTCAGGTGACTACCTCTTGAAGCTCATGGAGAGAATGCCAAGAGTGTGCAAAGCAGTAATCAGAGCAAAGGGTGGCTATTTTGAGAAACTAGAATATAAAACATGTTTTCAGTTATTTCACCTTTTTTTGTTAAGTACATAACTCCACATGTGTTCATTCATAGTTTTGATGCCTTCAGTGAGAATCTACAATGTAAATAGTCATGAAAATAAAGAAAACGCATTGAATGAGAAGGTGTGTCCAAACTTTTGGCCTGTACTGTATATCTGTGCACAATAGCTTCTACAACATGTTTTATAACTCTTGTTACGACTTAAGACAATGAAAATAAGAAAAAATAAGCTTTCATGGTACTGTCTACTGACAGTTCTTTTTCTTTCCATGGTAGGTCGTCTTCACTGGTGCTTTGTTGTAATTTGCTCCGTACAATAAAGCGATCCATTGTCCCACTCACGGCTTTCTCCTCTTAGTTGTTATCATCCCTCACACTGGCTGCCAATCAGGGCTTTGAATGTGTCATACTCTACAATTCCTATGCGTAAACGGCGACTGCTACTACTCCGCCTTTACAGCCTCGTTGTGTTTCTACTTGCGCTCTTGCAAACTATTCTGACTCAAACTGTCCAACTCATAGATTTATTAGTTTATAGTATTTTCCAGTTGTAGTTAAGTTGGAAGTTTAGTGGTGGAGATGCTGAAGTCCTACAACTACAGAGTCATTTGTTCATAGCTTAATGTTAGCTTTTTACTTCTGGCGATTGAATTAATGCTACAAAAATCACTGAAGCGGTGTTAATTTGTGAAGATTATCTCACTGAACAAAACTCATATCATAAACTTTTGTTTGCCTCTGAGCTTATTTTCTGCAATAATCCAAAATCCAATAGAAAAACCAGTAGTATCAGTCTCTGTGCTCCAGAGGATTTTAGAGTTTTGCACCATTTTTAACTGGTGAAAACTTTGTTAGTCACTATTTGCTCTGCACTTGAACTTTACTCGGCATGTCAGTGACACCACCTACGTTTCTTCATCCTGTTAATTCATATGCAGCATGTAACCGCCCACAGACCCTCTGACTTCTCCTTTTTGGGCTTTTCTTAGTAAACTTTCACATCAGCCGGTCTTGCTGTTTCTGAGAGACCCCTACCTGCTGCCGTCTGCTCACGGTGAGTTCAGGCTGCCTATGCCTAATATCATCTTACCCCTGTGCCTAATCATTCCAGATATTAATTATTTATGGTAAATAAACTATAAAACTATTGTACCCTCTTCTTGCTCATCTTACCTTTTCTTACCTTTCAGATTCATTCTCAAACGTTGTGATCGAAGGTGTGGTACATGGAGTTTTCTACCCAGATCTTCAACCAAGGTAGAGCTGCTGACAGGGATCTGAGGGCACATCATTGCAAAAAGATGCTCCGTGTTTTCACACCATTTTTCGGTGTGCGTCAGGAGGGACATGACATGTTTAGATACACTGAGCCTCATTTACATTCTCCAAAGCATAAAACAAAAATCCATACATTTCTTTTCTTCTTTCAGTAAATCACTGGTACTTCATTTAAAACCCTTACACCCACTAACGTCTGCACCATCACTATCAGTTGTTTTTTTAAATAATCAAAACTAGTGGATTTGAATCCTAACAAAATAGTTTTAGGAAGCAACTTCTGTCAGCTATAAAATATAACTATATGTGAAACAGTTTAGCAGGTTAACATAGATGTTTTTAGGCATTAGAATCAAAATAATGAATGACTATAAAGATTTTTTTCAGATTACAGCAAATAACTGCAGACAAAGCAATGAATGAAATCACAGGATCCACTGGAAGTAGAGATAAAAGGCAGATCAAAGTAGGGGAAGTGCTCTTTTTTGAGGGCTTTTACTAAGTAAATACCAGAAGTTGAAACCCTGGGGAACCAGAGAGGAAATGCTGATGCCAGCTGGACTGAAGGTTAATTTACCAGACACAGAGGAGGCCTGTAAAGGACAGAGCACAGGGCTGGAGTGTGGAGCTGGAGCCTGGCCTGCACACAGGGAGGTGCCACTCCCTTTGTAGCACCAGCGCTGTGGTTTTTGAATTTGCTCTGAGCTGCCAAATGGAGCCGTGCAAGGGAGTGCAGTGGGTCAGCGTGGAGCAATTTTGAGCGTGTTTGTGCATTCTCGGGGAGCTGACGGCTATGTGCCACATGTAAGGGTGGAAATGATTTGAGTTGTGATGTGGATCTTTTACTGAGCATCAGATGTTTGAGGAGGAGTGCTGCAGTGTTTGCTACTGAGCTCTGTGGGGCTTCTGGAGGAGCCGTTTGGTTAGGTGTTGAGCTTCAGGTTTTGGGCACAAAGCCATTTTGAAATGTAACCATGACAGACAGAAATATGTGGCACAACTTGTGAGTTAGGAATGACATGTTAAAGGAATACTTCACCCCCCAAATGATCGCTTGTATAACAGTTACTCACTCTGTGTTACATCGACTTTGTGAATAAAACACTGTTTTCCTGGCATGCCTCCGGTTAGTGAAAAATCTAAAAACTGAGAAAATTCTTCATAAATTGAAGTCGTAAGGGACTGCGTTTTAAAACAGCAAACTCTCACACAACTCATGCAGAATAATCCAAGTCTCATCTATCCAGTCGTATGCTCAGTACGTCCCAAACAGACAGCCCTTTCCAATGGGGAGCTGAATTTAAAGTGAACCTTATCTATGCTCTCTTAAAACCCAGACTCCATTGACAAAAACACTAATTTTGCCTCGCTGAACACGGGAGCTGCTGGTCTACCGCTGCCTCTATCAGTTAGTTTGTGTTATTGTGTGACTTTGGTGAATCCAAACTAATCTTTTAAAACACCAAAGTCACACAGTAACACAAACTAACTGCTTGAGGCAGTGTTAGAAATACTGTATTTATATAGTTTAAATTTTACTGCTTGTTAAATGTGGACCCTAATGACTTTATTTCATCAAGAATTTTCTCCATTTTTGGATTCTACATTTTCCGCAGGCATGTAAGGAAAAAGGTCGTCCTCACAAATTCAATGTAATACATGGTGAGGGATTGATATACAGATCGTCATTCTGCAGGTGGAGTGTGCCTTTAAGTTTGAGGTGGGTGTTAGTGGAGTTGTGGAAAACAGATGTTGACAGAGCAATTAAAAGAACACTCCACTGATTTAACATTGCACTCCTATTGCTGTGTCAGACTCGCAACAGTTAAAATTAGGGATATTATCTTTTTTATTCAAAGTATTCATTGTCCTGATTTGGTGCCCCTCACTCTGAAGCCAGTGCAACTATGCATTTGTAGTAATATTCCCCAAGATCTGTAAACAGACTCTGGTGTGTAAAGTCAGTGAAAGTCCCCAGAGAGGATTAGAGAGACCTAAAGGACACTTCTCCACTTCTGATTTATGCCTCCTTGCTTCCTTCACTTGCATTTCAGAAGACATTTAACAAAAGATCACAGAGTTCATTGATTGCCATCAGTGAATGCAAAATCTGACATTTGAAATAGTTCCAGCTTGTGCAAAAATTATGTTAACTGAAGGAAAAATATCTATCATAATCATTAAATTAAAGCAGAAATCTTAGTATTGACTAGAACTGACACAGTCCTGTTCCTATTATACTGTCCCAAAAACTACAGACTCTGCTCACACACACAGGTTGGTAACTGTAGATCTACATATCATTTTTCACATGAAGATGAGAATCATGTTAGATTTGCGTATATGAGTTGGAACTAAAGGCTTTAGATATCATTTACTAAAGGCCAGTGTCTAACACTAACACCAGTCCTGTTAAGTTTATTTTCATGAATTTACACATTATATAAAAGGCCAGTTTTCACTTGTGGTGATTTAGAGACGTAGTCACCCATCATAAAGGGATGCAAAATGTTTTGTTTTACAGAGCATTTTTAAAATGAGAGACGGTGATTTAAAGGACTTAGAACCAGTACAACACTGTGCAATATGAACTGAAACAGACTATCTTTATGTTGGTCCATTGTTAGGTGCAAACCATCTCCTGTTGTGAACACTTGAAATGACATGTAGCTTTTGTGAAACATTATGTTGCATGTCAGACTTTAGGCAGTAACCGATGACGCTCGTCATTGTTTTCATTGTTGACACTTTCTACGTGACTGGACCTCCACTACAGCACAGTGACAACTACATATTTATACTAAATCAAATGAATCCTGAACATTTAACCTCAACTAAACAGATCATGAATTTATGTTTTAACAAAGTGAATCATTTCCTAGAGATCCATCTTGTAGATTTATATGTATTTATATTGTGTACTGTTTGTGCCATAGACTGTACGTAAAGATGGACGTATCTCCACTTCCTCCCACTGTACAAAAATGAAAAAATATCCCAGATATGGGTGCTGCCATCTTCGTCATTTGGGGCCAGAGGTTGCACAATAACAAACTAGTTCCCGCTCATGCACCCAACCAACTGAACCACACACAGCACCACTGATCATGAGCATACTGAGGTGTCAATCGTGATGTCATGCCACCTTTTATAGCATCAAATAACTAATTAAAACCATAACTTATTAGAAACATGAACACGTGCATGATAGGAGCTACTTAAAATGAGGAAAACCATCTTTAGGAAAGAAGGAATGTGATGTGTACTTTGATCTTTCAGTTTGGCCCATGTCCCATCCACTAACATGGGGGGGGGGGGGGGGTTGGCTTTATGACCTATCACCACCAGGGGGCGATCAATATGTTTTGGCTTCATTTTTTTCAGGTCGTGAGTAAATGGTGACCCAGGCCACTAGGAAAGCAGCTCAGCCTTGCAGCAAATTTTTCATAGTGGCCACTCATGTTATTGTATAAAAAAAAAATCCCCTGTGGCCCCTAAAGCATTTCCCCAGACCACCTTTATAAAAGAGATGTCCATAAAACTGTTGACAGGACACCTCAAACTGCAAACGTCAATTATGACTCTCTCTATTCTGAATTTTTGAGCCATTGCGGTTTCATATTTGTGAAACGTTCCTCAAGCTGAAAAAAAGCTATTTAAAAATCTGTTTTGTCATCACAGTGTAAAGTCTATGAGCCAAGCAGGAACTTGTGGGCAGGGCCAGGGGGAGAAACACTACTGCGCATTTCCAGTGGGCCACATACCACTTAAGTAAACCAGGAAACTAGAAAGCTTTTTTGATGTATGCGCAAGGCGACTAACTCCTTTAAAAATAGGCGCCATCTTGGCATCCAATATCTAGCTATTATGAAAATCCATGTGTAACACTAAATGTGCAAAACTCGCACATGCGGCTTCTTGTCTCACTGTTTTAGGGTGTTCTAACACTATGGTTCAGTTTAGGTTAGCTTGAGGTACAAAAAAACAAGTTGTTTATGGACAGAATGGTTTGAAGCACATAACATGAACCCCAGTGGTGGTTTTCACAAATCTGGGGTTAGAACCTCAATGAGAACCTTTTGGGAAGCAGTAATGTCGTCCATCTTTGTACACAGTCATGGTTTGTGTTCTAACTTTGTGAAAAGTGTCATTTATGTGCCATAATGTCGACCTACAGTGAACACTGGAATTCTACTGTAGCACTTTAAAATGGGCAATATGTAAAATACTGACACCAATAAAATTCATTATTTCCACAAACTTCATCTGTCAGACTGAAAGTTCAAGTTGATTTTTAATTAAAATGACACCCAATGTATTAACACATGAACTTTATTATAAAAAAGTGACTAGAAAAGGCTGATTGACAAGATCACAACTGTTTTGTATTTGTCAGTGTTTCTCACATTAAAGGGTGAAAGATCAGAGAAGCACGTTCCCTTTTAACAGAGTAAACCTCCATATATCCTTCTGAAAATTTTAAATCCGCTTGTCATGATCCAGCAAAAATGACAGAAATTAGAGCTCGGTTATTCACTAAAAATCTGTCCCCATAAACTTGAAACCGTTCAGTAACATGCTTTCTTGTTTCCAGTCAAAACAAAGACGCATTCAAGTTTAGTGTATTTAAAATATGACCCTCCAGCAGATCATACAATGCAAACTTCATTGTCATAGATGTCTGTCATTTTTAATTAATTATCAATGTCAAAGTGTCCCCAAGCCTTAATTGCACTTATAAGACTCTTAAGCATAATTGTGTTAATGTACAGAATTCACGTTTAGCCGCAGCTATGACAGAAAAATGTCCTCTGCATAAATTCAGATTCTTAAAAAATACTGGCTTTACATTAGGAAATAATCTGAAATGCAAAATATTTCAGAAGCATAGAAAATTAAAAGTCCTCTGATTTCTGGGCAACGCTGTCACAGTAACAGTCCAGTAGTAACAACACACACACACACACACACACATACACACATCTGTCTGATATGTGCGATCCAGCAATTCAGCACATTATCTCTGGTCCCAGCGACGGCTTTAAAGTTCTCCATGACCGACTTCATCTTTTAGCCTTTCGTCCTGGTTGGCTTCTGCCTCGGGTGCTTTCATGTTGGCGAAGGCGACTTCTCTGGTCAGCTGCTCGATAGGAGGGAGACCCACCGCCAGGTTTCTCATGGCGATGGCTGTCATCAAGAATCTAGGGGGGGAGGGGGCGGAGTTAATGCAGTACATTCACATTGCATGAATTTTCTGTGTAAACCTGGCATGTTACTGTGCTGTTGGAGGACACACTCACCCTCTCCGTATCGTGTAGTACTTCTTTACTGCAAAGCGCTCCAGCCGCTCTAGCACACCAGCCTCCCTGCGTTTTTTCACCTCCTTCATGCGGCGCTGCCTCTTCAGGAACAGCTGCACAATGGGGTCGGTGGTGTTGACCTCCGCCCCTTCATTGTCTGCAGCGACAAGAGGCTGCAGCTCAGGAGGAAGAGGCTCCGTTTCTGTGGGAAGAGACCATCCAAGGCAGTCAGCACCAGAGTCAGAGCCGCTCTGATCTTTGAGGTTATTTCTATATAGTTAAGATAACCTAGCCTTCATTGTGTTAATGGGTAACTTTGCAACATGGACACTATTTTCCCAGGTTTTTTTGTCAACGTGACTAATGGGAACAGCCATTTTAAAAAGTGGTCCAGTATGCTGTGAGAGTGCTGCAGCCAGCAACGTCATAACAGGTTGCATTGTAACCACCTGGGGCATTTGTGCACTGCCAATTTACGTCCACTGTAAGTGCTTCTTTTTGCCACTAACGGGCTCAGATGATAATTATACGTAAATGTCTGAAAGCATTATGGAAAGGATCCTTTAGAGAATGACCTTTTGTTAAATAGATCCCCTTTGTTTAACCAGAAACAGTCCTGAAATCGCCATCACCAAACCCACCAGACTCCATTTAAATAAACAGTAATTTTAGCATCTATAGAGCCAGCATTATTTTCACGTCTAACTAGGTGAATTAAGGTTTTTTTTCCAAACAAACCAGAGATTGTGATCGTTGTAACAGTGGAGAGATGAACTAAGACAGTTTTAAGTGTTTTATTTTGTTTATGCAACTTTGAATTAAGTGTGTTTTACCATGATAAAATTACTGTTTTTTTAAATGGAGTCTGGTGAGTTTGGTGATAGCAATTTTGGGGCTTTTTCTGTTTAAACAAAGGATCTCACTCTGTACCAAAAAGGTCTATCTCTGTAGTGATTCTTTCCATAATGTTGTCAGATACTTAAAACAGTCTGAGCCTGTCTGTGCCAACACTTTGAGTAGATGTAAATTGAAGGTGGATTATTGCCCATCAACATTTCTCTTGTCATCTCCATTAGCCACTTAGTTACCTTTAAGTTACCCTCAAACTGCCTGACATTTACCTGTCCCATTGCGAATGCGCTCCTGAAGCTCTAACAGCTTGGTGAAGTTCTGCTGTAGCGCCGACTCTGTGGTGTTGACGTAGATGTACATGTAGCAAGACGGGTCTTCAGACACTGTGTACACCTTATGGTAAGCCCCAGCAGGTACCTACACACACACACACACACATTATGGTGAATTCTTGAGTGTGTCCTGGTTGAACAATGTAATGTTAATGGTGATGATGGTGTGTTGCTGTACCTTTATCTGCTCACCAGGCTGAAGAGTGTAGTTCTTCTTCTCCTCTACTATCTCAACGTTCACTTTGCCCTGCAACACACTGATGCTGGTGTTGCCAAGATCTTCACTTACAAAGTTTTCTAAGTGGAGACCTAAAAGGTGACATACTGTCAGTTAGCACAAAGTGTAGCACCAAGAATTAATGAAGCTAAACAAAACAACAAACAAGAAATATAACTATGCTTTTCCAACTAATCGAAAGATAAGATAAGGAGAGATTTGTAACCTGGGAAATCAGCGATAAAGACAATCTCGGTCTGATTGTCCAAACTGCCCTCAATCTCCTGAAACTTGGTCCTCCAGGGTGAGAGGTCCACCAGCAGAGGCATCAGCCATGTGTTTGGTCGGAAAGGTGACCAGTCCGCCCTCACAATGTCCACACGCGGATCAAAGATCCTTAGAGAAAAAAGCCCAGAGCACATTTAAAAACACACACTCCTACTACTGTTAGTTTAAAGTTATTTTTTGAAACCATTATTAATTTGATACGTCTGAAGTAATTACATTAATAGCATCTTTTTCCCTCTCGTACCTTTGCTGGAAGCGTTCATTGATGGACACCCAGATGTCAAAGTAGATTTCCGGGTCAGTGATATTATATCGGGGCAGGAACTCATGGAGGCATGTGGCATACTGCTTTAGCATGTCTCCGTGATCCTTCCATCGACGGCTTTGTGTGAAAACCTTCAGTACACAGACAGTGTGGTTATTAATTCATAAGTAGTCAGCTAACCTGAAATTAAGAGAAAGTCACAATCTCAAAGGTGAAGTCAGGAAAGTGGTGTAAATAGTTTTCTTCAACATGTAACAGATGCAAACCTTTAGCTATAATATACAGGGTTTTCCTACAAATCAATGTACAGACTCATACAAAGGTAATTCCTCCCAATATTCACTAATGACCCACTACAAGTGTGTGGCACCGTATGTATCTGCATTACTCTGCCCTCTGCCTGCATTTCCTAAATTTCTTCTTAGGCCTTGTCCACATGGACATGGGTATTTTTGGAAACAGGGTGTTTCCCTCCTTCATTCTCATATACATTCCTCTCCAACCACATGGTTATAAAATAAAAAAAAAAAGACCAAATGAAAATGCAAAAACTCATCTGAAGCACTGTCAAGAGCACATCACACCAAGAGGCAGTGATGTAACTATAACCCTAAAGACACACAAAGAAGAAGTTCACCAATCAGAAGCCTAAAAAAGCTTGTAAGTGTACCTGGAACAATGACCTTTGTCCTTCACTGTAGTGGAATAGAAACTGTACATTTATGTATAAAAGGTTAGAGCTATCACTATTTTGGTCACGTCCGCTACTGCACGAAACACCACCTCATTTGTGATGCCTCACAACAGAGATATCAAAGCACACTCTGACGTTACAAGTTTTGCGGAATAAAGCAGACAAAGCTTGTTCGAAAGTTGAATCTGGAATTTGCTGTGACTTTCACTGGTGAGCTCAGAGGGAGAGGATGGTGATGAAGGGCAAAACTGAGTTGGCCTGTTTTCTGTTTAACAGATAGCTAAGTTAGCTTGCTGAAGTACCGCCTTCTCCATTACAACAAATGTCACGGTCCTACAATAGTAGCTTGCAGTGTGCAGTACAAGCAGTGCAGAGAGGAGAGGCCAAGTCTACAATGACAATTCCTGCATAGTACGCCCTAACCTTAAATTGTTCTATCGTGAAATGACTGATGGGTCCATTTTACCTGACATGCCTGTGCATATGTACTCTGCATCATGATTATCTGCGCTGCACTGACATACCATTCAGACAAACCGAATGTCGTTCTCGCATACTCTATTCTCTGACGGTGTTTCCCTTGTCACTCACCCCTGGGTTCAGATATCCAATTTCCCCAGTTTTTGCATCTTTGTAGGTGATCTTAACGTGCTGATGGCTGCGGGAATGAACCATCATGTCCCATGAGTAGCCGTACAAACCATTGGTCCAGTTGTTGTAACCCTGCAGGAAAATATAATATAGGATAATTCCATGCAAATAAAAATCGTGCTGTAAAAGATTTGTCACTCTTCAACCAGTTTTTGATAAATGAGTATATAGTTATGTCACCATAACTACATAATCGACTTAGTGAGGCCAGCAATAACTATTGAGGTTGTGTCAATATATCCTATATAACACTGCCCTTGTGTTTTTATGTGTGTTTTTTTTAGATTATTTTGGGGGCTTTTATTATTTATTATAAAGGAGCTGAGGAGTGACAGGAAAGGAAGGGTAGAGAGGGCAAAGGGCAAAGGCCCTCAGGTTGTAATCAAATCCAGGCTGCTGCCAAGGCCTACTGCATGTTCTACCAGATGAGTGCGAGGTCACCTGTATTTGAGTGTTTATTTACTTAAAATAGTCACCAACATTTTAGCCAACATGCTTCCAGGGTTTTCCCAACAATTAGAAGATTTGGGCACAGTGCCTACGCAATTTTTTCACCATGCCAAAACCGAATTATCAGAAAGAAAAACTACTCTGAGACATGTTTTGCTGTCAATTCAAGCCAAGCTGCTTCTGTCCTCTTGTCTCAGCTCTCTGTGTCTCACACATTCTCACATTTTTATGTCTTAATTATTGTAGATATTTTAATATTTTTTTACTTTTTAATTCCAATGTGTGAATATTCTTTAGATATAAAAGAGCATGTCTCCTTGGAGGGGTGTACTGGCATTATTATGCTATTGTTTTATCATTATATCTGTGGCATAAAATGCTCTTAAAATGGCAGTACTATCATTTAATGCAGTTATTTCTGGGACAATATCTCATCCACCAAAAGTAGTTCTCATTGCAGACCAATCAGTGTATGAACCAACACTTTAAGTTTGTAAATAACCAAGAGAAAAGTGTCCACATCAGAGACTGGCTGATGAGTATCTACTTCGTTAGGTCTTTCACCATCCTGCTGACAGCACCAATCTGAGCTCTTGTTTGCTAATGATCAATGACTGTTTACTCTGATTGAGCAACTGTCAGTGCGGCGACTCAGAGAGGGTTTCTACTGACAGCAAAGTACAATCTTCGTAAACACAGTTTCTATGTGTGGAAAAAGTGCTGGAAGACTATTATGCAACTATTCATTACTGGATCAAGTCAGCTGTGAAAGTCTTTTTGGATCTTTAATGTTGAAACAGACGGGGCAGGCACACGTACCTGTGTGATGAAATGCGAGTACGGCAGGAAGAACTGTTCAGTTATGTAGATTAAAGTGAAAATGGTCGCCAGCTTGTGCTTAAGTCTCAGTTTGGAAGCTTTGGGGGCAGGTGGAGTCTCCTGGCGCTCACTGCTGGTGCTTTGAACCTCTTTGTAAACACAAGAAGGGCTGGGTTGAGGGTCCGGGGAGGTGAGTGGCAACACAGCCCTGAGGAATGCTGGGAAGCGCCCGAAGAATCTTCTCGGCCAGTCGGGGTAGCAGAAGAGGGGACTGGTGGCCAGCATTGTGTAGGAGAACATCCCTGTGGAGGATTGACATTCTCAACAAGATGAAGTTAAAGTGAAACCCCTCAAATTAAAGGCAGAGTTTTAAGAGTCATGATGATTTTAACGAAGACTCACCGATGCTGAAGAGCTGAGAGTTCATACAGTGGAAGTAGCTGACGAAGAAAATCCCATAAGGTCGCGTGACGTCAAAAAACAGCAGGTAGCCGGCGGTCAGATCCAGAACAAGACCGCCTCCGTGCACCACCAGCAGGCTCACCAACTCCACAGGGAGAATCACTCTGACAAATAATGAGTGGTACACACAGATCAGAGTGGGAGTACTGCGATACATGAGTCAGTGATAAACGGCTTTGAGCTGCTGAATAATACCTACTTGAAAGGATCAAACAACCAGTGGTGAGCCAGGTATGACATCGAGTATCCCTCCACCCAATCAGCGTCCAACTTTTTGACTCCAGCAATGAAGTATACAATGAATATCTTTAGGAACAAAAAACATTACTCAATTACTCAACAATTCAAGATAAAAAATAGACAGTATTAGCAGTTAGAAGTCATTAGTTCACAAACCTGTGTCCTCAACAAGGTGTAGTTCCACAGAGGCACGTGAGTGTTTCTTATAGATGGCCTCCGCAATCCATCAATGGACCTACAAATAGACACAGGAATTAAAGGTCTCTCTCTGTTGAGCTCACACATGCTGTGTACAGGGCAGAAGTGTACAGATCATCTCACCAGTATCTGTTGCCATCCATGAGTGTGAGCTGAAACTCGATGAGGCCATACAGGTACGAGTGATTGTTCCAGGTCGTTTTGTCCAGGAAGAAGATGTACCAGTACGTCGAGAGGAACATGAGGCAGGACAGACGGTAGAAACAGCCAAGCATGATGCCCACAGCACCTTTGATGAGAAACACAAGTTCAGTTAATAATAAATCTTAATTTCCATTGATAAGCCAGACACACAATTTACAGTGTAACAAAAATTCTTTAGCACAGCAGCGGTCAAGATACTCTTTGCCCCCCTGGGATCAAACACCTTACAACAACAGTGATCTTCCCATATACCTGAGCCCAAGATACCTGCACAGCAGCACCCAATGTACACACACGGTGAATAACAATTAACGTCTGGCTAGGTAAACAACATATTCGCCTCCTATGAAGGCGTTCAGAGCTTGATCTATACTAGGGACTCGTCAGGATACCACGGGATATCTGGCTTTTGCAACCCCTCGTCTTTCTAGCAGTCCACTGAGCGGAGTACTAAATTTAGGCAAAGTCAAACAAAATTGTATAAAAACCACAGACGGACTATGAGAGAAGGGGCCCCTAGGCACAGATATGTAAAATGCCCCACCACCTCTCCTACATAGGAGCAAGACACCCAGACTTTGTAATGGTTTTGTCTCGTTATTAAAAAATATTTTTGTGTCTCTGTTGTCGTTATGCATCTTTTTGTGGTTTAGTGTCTTCCTGTGTTAGTTTTGCATCTCTTTGTTGTCGCTTTGTGTCTCTTTGAAGTAAATTTGTTTCTTTTTTGGTCATTTTGAGTCTCTTCCTGGTCGGTAGATATGAATTTGAGTGACATTTCACACGAGGAGGCCAGGGGGGCCCTTGACTCTTTGGGCCCCTGGGCCCGTGCTCGGTAGGCCTGTTCAGTAATCCATCCACGATAAAAACATATGCAAAATTATCACAAAGTATAGTGATTGAACTTGCAACAAAATAGAAAATCAGTAAGAACAATTTACATTGTAACATGTACAATTATATGTTCTAGATCTGAACATATCATGTTGGTTTATTTTGTCTGAGATGATTATTGACACTTTATACATGTCCTGGATTATTAAGTATACTGTTAAAAATCTAATTTATTAATTTCACATGACAAATATTATAAAGTACTTAAGTACCACATAAAAAAACAAACTGTGTCACTGTAGCCGGGGCTACAAAAACAATCATGCTGCGATTATTTTTGACATATATTGTGATATGAGTTGCGATTTTAGCAGAAATGGTCATTTTTGCATTAAATATTCACCCCAAAAAAAAAAGATGACTAAATGCTATTTGCTGAGGTCTGGATGAAACAAGCATGTTCCCTTACATATGAAATATGATTTGTATGCAGGTGCATTTCTGTAGCACCACAATGCTTCAATCATAATGGTATGTTGTGACACATTTTACTTTTATCAAAAAATTGCGGCACCTGCAATTTGGATATTGCACTTGGCCATACTGCAATTTCAATACAATTCTACTATCTGTGCAGCCCTGACTGTTGCCACAATATCTTAATAGATGGTTTAATGCTGGAAATGTCAGTAATGTGAAATATTGATCAAAACATTTAGTGGTGTTGAAATTCCTCTGTGTTGTGAAATCAAGGTGAACTTTTAGTAGAGACAGATGTTGCCTGATACTGGAGGTGTTGAGAATAAGAGTAGAACATGGATTTGTGTATCCACTTGGTAAAGTACTAGGTTTGTAACCCTAATGATTTTTCATCAGTGTTTATTTACTTTTATTGACGCTGTGTCCTGCTCTCTGTTTGCATTCTCACTGTGGTGAAGGCCATATTTGCATTCTTTGCAAGACTCAAACAAATCTTGCATGAGTTAATTGGCTTGGCGGGAAAATAAAAGTGGAAAATTGCAGGTCTGGTATGTGTGCTTTCATCTTCACTGCAGACAGCCTCCCTACAGAGGCCGTCTCCAATAAAACACCTGCATCTGCTTAGACACAAAGGAAGCCCCAGCAGACACTGAGGTGTGAGCATTTCAACCTGTAACCTTTTGGACATGAGGACATGATAGAAACCTACCAATGAACATGATGACATACATCAGATACATCCAATCCAGCGGCAGCGGCTGTAAGAAATTGAAGAGAGGAAAGCGACACACAGGGGCACCATCCAGGTACTTATAGTCCAGGTGACTGAGGCCACGCTCCTGAGTGACGTCGATGGCCATCAGCAAACCTGCATGACAGACACAGAAAAGTAATAAGTGAAGAAGGAGAAATCACACTCAGCAGGCAGTCTGGGCCGAGCTAACGGCATCTTAACTTACCAAACAAGCAGCGGAAGATGCCCAGGGCTGCAGGGTCAGTGGGACGGTTCAGGAGGGTCACCAGGCTGTGCCAGGACGTCAGGTCCTCCTTCCTGAACCCAAAGATCTTCTCCATCTTGCTCTGAGTCTGTGGTGCATCTTTTTCAGGAGCTGCATCTTTCTTAGGAGCTGCAGCCTGCTTTGTAGATTGTTCCTCTCCATCGCTGCCCACAAGAGCAGCTAGAGGGTGAACAGGAACATGAAGGTGATACGTTACACATTCACATCTGCTTATATGTGTTACATTAACGCACATCGTTCTGGACGACTGTCTCTTCTTTTTATTTATAATACTGAGAGCCACCTACATCTTTTATTTTAAACTGTTATATTTTGCACATTTTAAATAGTATTTGTATATATATATATATATATATATATATATATATACACATATGTATTTTTTTTTTTTTGTCTTTGTAATTTTTTCTATTCAATATTCATGTTTCTTGCCTATGCATCAAAACACCAGAGCAAAGTCCTTGTATGTGAAAGCCTATTTGGCAATAAACTGGATTCTGATGTAGTATTTTCTAGGACAAAGAGCAAGATAATGTGTATTAATCACTAAGTCAACGAAATTACTGTGCTTTATTTATGGAACATGCATGATTTTGAGCTCTTATTTATATACCAAACACAGCTTTAGTGGAGATTACAGCCTCTCCTTGGTCTAACTAATTATCACATTAGCTAAATAACAACACACTACACTGCTAACAACAGCCTCACCTGCAGTTGCGTCTCGCGCCTCCATGCTGCTAAATATTCGGGGTAAAACAGATTTAATTTTGGGGACGGGGGGGGTCAAGAAAGTCCGGTCTCTGCTCTCCCTGCCCCAGATGGAGGTCTGCTGCCTGGTCACGTCTGTGAAAGGGGACAAAGTTACGTGTCACAGTCCTACACACTCGGGCTAGTCAGGGCAGGGAGAGGAGGTGGATGTAGGGAGGGAATGGAATGTTGTGAAAGAGCTGCTCGTCGTTCATTGGCTGATTCTTCCAAAGGATACGCCCACTCAGGGAGAACCACATACGTCATATCCTGCTGGAAGGTGCATGTGTTTTAGACAAAGAAAGGAAAAAATATATTTTACAGAGTACCATTTATAACAATAATAATAAAAATAATAATAATAAACTTAATTAATATTAAATATATAAGAAAAATATACAAAAATTCTGTATGCAGTAAAAATTTAAAAGAACTAAAAAGTTTTGAATAATCTGTAAATATTAACATTTATCTTTTATATATTATGTTCAATTTATGTGGGAATCAGGTAATATTTAATTTTTTGTGCCACATTTTTCCCTCCCTTTTAATCCTCCTTTCCCCTGAAAATAAAAATAAATAAATATAATAATAATACTAAATAAAAATAATAAAATTAATAATTACTACTACTAATATAATAATCATTGTAATAATTATTTTTATTATTAATATTATTAATATTGTTATTATTATACATTAATGAAAAATAATGAATTTTAGAATAAATAACTTAGACTAAAAAGTAAAATAAGATCATAAAAATATGGAGAATAATCTTTAAAATAAATATTAGAAATCAAGTGTATCTTTTGTTTGTTATATATAATTTATGGCAGAAATAGGTCACATTTTGATCTGCTTCTCCCCTGAAAAGAACAAAAATTCATTAAAGTAAACATCTTATGTTAAAAAAATACATAACAATCATTATTAAACTAAAAAAGGGGGAATTTTTTATCATTTCTCCACAGAATTTCTCATAATCTCTGCAAGTTTCTTTGTATCAGTAAGTTTGTCTGAGCTATCTTACAGCTGCATGGGCATAGGCACAGGCTGGAGGTGTCTTGTATTTAAGCAGAGGGCAAACTGTTTCACACTGATAAACATCAGTGTTGTTTGCTGCATATTGTGTTTTCACAATCACAATTTACCACACATACACATCTTGTGACTCTTCTTGTGACTCATTTCCTGCAGTATTTCAAGCTGCTGTCATGACTGTAGTACCACAGGATACCACTGGAGGGCAGTCGTACATTCTGTTTGACAGCAGGTTTTGGAGTGAAGGTAGTGCTGTGAGGGATTTACTCTCCGAATTTTAGGAAGTGACCAGTCACAGTATTACAGATAGGTGGCGGTGGCAGAGGTGATGATGTTAAATGCTGTTTACTTTGCAGCTAATAGAGGCAGGGAATAAAGGGCAACTCTATGATGCCTTGATGAGTTACCATTTTGTAAAACAACTCAGGTGTGTCTATCTTTACACTGAAAATGTTTCTCAAATTTCTCTCCAGAGTTGTGTGACCTACGGAAATGTACATGTTACTATTATATAATAACCCTTTAAAAAAATCCTTGCTGTCACATAAATCATTAATCAGTTGTACATAGCTGGATCTGGACTTGATGAAGCCATTTTGAGTACAGATAGGTATTTATTGAATAGGGTTTTTGGATGCTGATTAATAGTGCAGAATCCCCTCTTTCACAGTGGCAGAAGATCAAAGTTTTTATTGTTGTTTTATTGTTTACAGTTGTTTGCATCAGCTGGTGGTAGGATTTGTTGTGGTCATTGCAGATGCTTGTAGACTAAACACTTTATCCAGCTCAGGTATTATCTTAGCCTCCATTCAGAGCGGTTTGCCTACCTGGGTGGGTTAGTCAGATGAGAGAAAGGCTGTGAGAGGGTTTGAAGTGGTCTGAATGAGCAAAACAAGACAGACCTTTGTGCACTGGTTGCCTTGGATGCACTGACACTGTCTCACGCTGACAGACCAGGTGTACATAATAACAGCTTTCAACATCACAAGGAAGCTTGCTGTGTCAGGCACATCTGACTGTTTTCATTAGTGTGTAATTTGGCTGTAATTGTAGGGGAAATGGAGACAAAGCTCTGAGCTCAGTTGGGATATACTTAGCTATGTTTACTTTACAAACAACTTCCTGAAAAGTTTTCTTGCAAGATTTTTTTTCTTGATTTAAACCCATATGAATAATCACACATTATTCACTAGTTATTGGAAACTTTCTTTCCTTTTTCTTCATCCAGGTCTCTTTAACAAAGGAGATCTTGATCACAGTGAGCAAACCTAATGAAATAAAGGTGATATATGCAGTATATAAGCAGTAAAACCTGGCCAGGGTTGGAGGTTGCAAACTGGTCTTAGCCAGAAATCCCACCTGCAATACATCTGTAACCTTTAACAATGTTTTTTTGCATTGTGCCTGACGAATAAACTAATAAATAAAATTAAAATTTAGACAAGAAAAAGCGTACGTTTTCTCTAAGTGGACACTCTTTGTGCCTTTAGTCCTTCTAAGGCAAGCGCAGGAGTTAAGTGTTGCTGGAGCCCACAGGAACGATGCTTTGTGACGCTTTTTTTTCTCAGAGTGAGGATAAGCATGTTAAGTATGTGCTGTTCACACTGCGTTGAAATTAATAGATATAAACACAGCCCCACCTTTTAATAGGCTACCAGATCTGTGTGGTAGGTACCCCAACAGAGGGGTGACCAAAAATAGGGACGGTACAGAGCGGTTACATTGGTACCATACAGAACTTTTCACAGTGGAAACGGAAACAAAATGACAGCCTATTGGGCATGATTTTCACCAGTGGCTGTTCCAACCTTTCTGCTTTCAGTATAGATCTACCTCAGATCCTCAGACACTGGTCTCCTAACTGTGCCCATGATCCAAAATAAATTTGGATCATTATGGCCCCACTCTCTGGAACAGACTGCCCAATGATCCGAGATTCTCTGCAACTGTGTCATCCTTTAAAGTCAAGCTTAAGACCTACCTACTCACAGGCCTATGAACAGTTAGTGCCTCTGTCTCTCTTTTGGGGATGTGTAATTTGGGTATGTCTGTGTGGGTGGGTGGGCTGCAGATGAATTACTCTCAAGACTTAATTTGTTTTTATTCACACATGTTGTATGTAAAAGCGCACTGAGATTACTTTGTATGAAAAGTAAACACTGTCACCTCACAGCAAGAGGGATCCTGGTTCAATTTTAGGAGGGAGCCCTTTTGTGCAGAGTCTGCATGTTCCCCCTATATTAGCGTGGGTTTTCTCCAGGTGCTCCAGCTTCCTCCCACAGTCCAAAGACATGCAGGTGACTCTAAATTGCCCATAGGTGTGAATGTGAGTGTGAATGGTTGTCTGTCTCTATGTGTCAGCCCTGTGATAGTCTGGTGACCTGTCCAGGGTGTACCCTGCCTCTCACCCAATGTCAGCTGGTTTAGGCTGCAGCCCCCCCACAACCCTCAAGAGGATAAACGATTACGAAAATGGATTAATGGATGATTGATTTGATCTAAACATATCCTGAAGATTTCCTATTAAATCAATCTAAAACAAAAGACAAAATGAAACAAACCCAAACCCATTTGATAGCCTCAAAAAACATATGCCTATGTGATTAAATCATCATTTTCCTCTCAAATTTTTAGTGCATTAGGCTAAGGCATCAGAGTCAGCATGTGAGACTAGTCATTGTTGATTTGGCACTGCCCTTTGGACTCACAAGAAACCAGATAGACCAGTCAGTAGGGTTCTAATCTCTCAAGACAGATTCTGCAATTTACATTGTAGAAATGTAAAGGAAGAATTTTTTTTTCTTTTTCTTTTTTTTACCGATGGATTTCCAGATTGGTAGGGTTCAGCCCTGTTTTAATGAGTAGAATTGGTCATCATGTTTTCTTTTTTTAATTATTATTATTTAATGAGATGATTGATATCAGTTTTGGTGACTCTGAGGCATGGGTGCAGTGTGCAAGAATTTTTAAATGAAGCAAAATTAAACATATACAAACAAACAAATAGATATAATGGATTTTTTCCAAGTTTATGTAATGCGCATGTTTTCCTGTAGGTGACGCCTGTGAGCAGAGCAGACGCCTGTGACGTGGAACGCTACAGAAGAAGAGTAACAAAAGCAGGGCTACTGCTTTTTAGGGCAGCAACATCTCATGTTATATCCGTGTCTGGGCTCACATTTACTTTAATTTTGAAAAATGTAACTGAAACCAGAGGGAGTTTAGATGTTTAGAGGCTCGTGTGGAGGAGCAGCTTGTCAGGAGTGACGGTGTTAATGTTTTCAGACGTGTTTTCGTTGGTGCAGCTAAGCTAGCTCTGAGGTTAGCTCCTCTTCAACTGGACCGTCTGCGTCTGACAGACTGTCTGACCTGAGAGATAATCAGCCGGTGTTTACCGTCCAAATTAACCCCTCACCTCTCCATCAGCCTGTCCGGTGCTAATCATCAGGTGAGCCAACTCCGTTGTTGTTTTTGTCAAACACACTGAACATTTGGTTTGCATATGCAGCCCTGGTGTCAGACTGATAAAGACAAGTGTAGCTGATAAAACCTAGTGTTTTGTGTGTTGCAAGAACACAAACCCATGCTAATTAACCCATGATAATTTCAAGGCCTTTTGGACCCACATTTTACCTTTCTGACAGGTACATTCAGCAGAGTATGCCAGCCACACATTAATTAACACATTTGTTTTAAACCTTTAAATAGATAATGCCATTTTTATAAAGGCTCCATGTTCATTATTCGCCAAGCTACACATACACTGCATGTAATGTGCTGCTGTTTTGAAAATGATTTGTAGTACTGTCAAAATACCACACATATTTGAGAAATGATCAATAGTAGAATATGTTTCTTTCATTTAATAAGAGTCAAGTCAATTAAGTTAATGCAATGACATCATGGGATTGTAATCCAGCTTTTGGGGAACTATAGGACTAGGGTTGCAGTAATATACCAGTTTCAAGGTACACGGTGATACTAAAATTGACGGGTATCATACCATGTACATTTACTTGTTGAATCTCTCATTTGTTTTTACACATATTTCCATTAACAAAATGTTTTCAATAATAGCAATAACACATTTGTTCAACCAACAATAGTCCTTTTGTTTTCATTCCT